TCCATAACAGTTGGACCTATTTATTTTGAAGAGAAAGGATGACGGACTAGCCTTGATCCTTTTCTGTCTCTTTTTCTCCGTCAGGTGACTCTGAATAACGTAGAGGTCTGTAGTGACAACATCACCACTTTAAAGAGAAACCTTGAGGTAAGTTTCCCACAAACACCATGCATCTCTGATTCTTCCCCCTGTCCTCTATAGCTGACTCATTCCTCTGAGATGTACTTGTTTTCTCTTTGCCTCGCAGAACGACTGCTCCAAGTTGTTCAATCAGGTTCCCGGCTCCGGGGACCAAGCTAAGATTGAAAGCTGTTTGTCCGACCTCGTCAACACATCCGCCAAATTCAAGGATCTCTTACAGGTTGGACACACACACACACACACACACACACACACACACACACACACACACACACACACACACACACACACACACACACACACACACACACACACACACACACACACACACACACACACACACACACACACACACACACACACACACACACACACACACACACACATCATTTCTGTCAGCTACTTGTTGTGTATTTATTTATATACATTGAAGGGAACACTTACTACATCAGTGTGTTTCTAAATGATGAGTTTGACAGGCTAGTGTCCACAGCTAGGAAAACTATGTCTGCAGACATTGATCTTAAAGAGGCCCTCTTTTGCTTTTTGGCTGTTCCCTTTCCTGATGTGTTTTATATGTTTTTGTGCATGAAAATGCTAAAGTTTCTCTCCCATCCCCCAGACCCACTCCCTGCTTGAAACCCCTCCATTATACATACAACATAATGACATCACTGTGTAAGCGCTTCTACTGGCTAGAGCTCCAACAAAGTTGACATGATAGCCTAAGTGGCGGGACATCTATACGAGTTGAAAAATCACAACAGAGCCATCCAGCTAACCAATCAGAGCAGACTGGGCTCTGATTTCAGACAGAGGGTGAAACGAGGTGCTGCAGCACAGTATGAGAAAAATAGAGCTTTTTGAACATTGAAGCCTGGAGACATGTCCCAGTAGAGGCGAGAAGTAAAAATATGAACCTGATATGTCCTCTTGAAGTCTTCTACTGAAGTGTTATTATCATAAACTAAAAGTATTCTCTAATCATTTCTAAGTTTTTCTAGATCTAATAATCCAAATCTTTACATTTGTATTTGTTTATTAATTGTATTACTTGATTCAAATGTATTTCATGTTTTGTGTTTTTAGCTTTAATAGATGGCTACTAAAAAAACAACTGGTGTCCTTTTTCTGAGTGTCTCAGTTTAGGATTACTCACCTTTCTGAGGATATTTGAAATTCAAAGCTATCACTGCCCGCTTGTACTAAACTAGTAGTTCTATAAAGTCTCTTTGTGCTAAAAGCTTCAGACTCTGATGAGATCCTTCTTTCACAGGAGGGCCTGACCGAGTTGAACACAACAGCCATAAAGTCTCAGGTGAAGCCGTGGATCAGCAGCTTCCTGTCCATCTCTCACAACATCGAGGAGGTAACCGTCTCAGAGCAGAGAACTGGAATAAACCAGAGGTCATAAAGCATGTTGCAGTAACAGCTGGTGTCTTCACAGGAGGAGTTTAATGATTATGAAGCTAATGATCCCTGGGTGCAGCAGCTCATCGTCAACCTGGAGCAGCTCATGGCTGAGTTCAAGGTACCTTGTCTGAGAAGCATTTCAGCCATGAAATATATATGTCTCCTTGCTTATGTTTTTAAAGGGCCAGTTCAGGCCAACATGAAAATAACACATTTAAGCTCTTACCTGCAGGGCTATTCATCAATCTAGTGTGAGTTTTGAGATGTCTGCCTTCTCTCTGAGTATAACAGAACTACATGGCATTCAACTTTTGGTTCTCAAAGCACAGAAAAAAAACATTTTAAAAACTCAACAGCAGAGTCTCTCACCAGAAATAATATACCGTTTTTGAAGATGATCCACAGTCCTTGATCTGAGCAGTTTTATGTAGAAACTATCCTCTTTATATTATATTGTATAACCGCACAAAAGGAAGCCAGCTTACTTAACATTTAAGGCATTAATGTTTGCATCTTGCAGGAAGTTGAGTGTATTATCTGTGTTAATCGGGTCATGATGACTGAAAAGAGAAATAGCTTTTTCAAAGGTGTTTTCTTTTAGGCACTTTTAGCACAACAGGCTGAGTGGAATGCAGGTCAAATATATTCGAGACGAGGCAGACATCTATATAAGACTGATATCTCAAGTCATCTGCAGCTACACCAACACAATGTAGATTCATAAATAGAACTATAGGGATATAAGAGGATAGGTTTGTATTTGTTGATTTTTGGGGTGAACTGTTTCTTTATCCTCTCTCTCCTCTCCAGACGGCCATGTCTGCTGTGATCTACGACACTCTGACCAGCCTGATGACCAGCTTGATATCTATAGAAATGGAGAAGACCGTCCTCAAATGCTCGTTCAGCAGGGTGAGGAGCCGGGCTCGGCCACAAGGTGGCGGCGAGCCTCCTCTGCAGCATATTGCAGCACATCCCTGCCACATGTGACGAAAAGCCTCAAGCTATGATTTATTAATGAGTGCAGAGAGGCCTGCAGCAGAGGGCGCCTCCTTTTGTTACGAAAACATCTTCCTATTTAGAGCAGAGTGTTTTACAGGGGAGCTCTAAATAAATGTGTACACGTTGTTCAAACATAAAGTCCATCCACTGTTTCTGGTTCTTCTGTTGTAGCTCGGAGGGCTGCAGTTCGACAAAGAGCTTCGGTCTCTCGTGGCGTACCTCACCACCGTCACCACCTGGACCATCAGGGATAAGTTCGCTCGCCTCACACAAATGGCCACCATCCTAAACCTGGAGCGGGTAATTTAGATCATCTCACACACAGTACACGTCAATATACGCATCAATATAATGGATGATGTAATGTTTATGTCCATTTACACCCCATAGTGGAATGTGCCCTCGTACATATAATCAAGTAAAATAGATATTAGAGTTTCTTGTTTTGAGTATTTCCATTGTATGCTCCTTAATGCTTGCTACTACTGTGGAAAGGTTTATTCAACCACATTTATCTGACAGATGTATTTGCTAGTTGCTTTACGCATGGGGATTTAATATACAGAACAAATCATGGTTTTATAAAATATGAAGCCTTTTTATAATGAGTTTTTCAAAATGTATTATTTGGCTCTTTTAAATCAGGCCCATATCCTTTGCTAGAAAAACTGCTCCTTAATAAATGAATACAGGGAACTGGTAACCACACATTATTGCATTAATAATAATAACTTGGTAAAATAATTTATGACAGTTATATCACTCACAGGAGTTCTGTCTTATGAATCATTTCAATATGTTTAAAATACATTTAGCTAAAAATATAGTTTTCTCAGAACCTTAAGTAAAGGTGTGAACACTGTTTCCTGGTTTACTCATATGTGTTTATTTGTGTTGCAGGTAACTGAGATCCTGGATTACTGGGGGCCGAACTCGGGCCCCCTGACGTGGCGGCTGACCCCGGCGGAGGTGCGTCAGGTTCTCGCGCTGCGTATCGACTTCAGAAGTGAAGACATCAAGAGGCTGCGGCTGTAACTCATCCACCAGCTGGTTAGCAGGGATCATCCAAAACACCAACCTTGTGATGTTGGCAAAAAGACAAGGATTACATTTTTGTCTGAATGAAAGATTATCATCCTGGACATTTCAGGCAGGTTTTCAGGCTCCGTCTTCTCCTGCAGGCCGGCTCATTGTCAGTCTGGACCAGAGTTACTGCCCAGATTGTAGATGTATGTTTTGTGGTTAAGGCGAGACACTAAAGACAAACATAGTTTTTTTTCATGCACCGGTTTTGTTTTGCTTTATTTCCTAACATGTTTTCTTTCTACGTACAAAGTAACCATTAAGTTGATTATTTCATGTTGACTAATTAAGCTTGTAGATTTGTATATAATTCACTAAAAGCATAATGCCTCTTTTGCAGATTTAAACATAAAAGCTTCTAGTTTCAATCATATTCATATTCTGATGTAAATGGATTGTTCATTTTCATTTTATTCTTAAAAACATTGCAATTTTTTTTGTATGACTGTTGACAGAAATATAAAGTTTCCCTTGTAAATACACTTAAATATTTCAACTAAAAGAACAAGACGTGTAACTGGCCTCATTGAACGTGTTATATGAGATTGCTGTTTCTGGAAATGTTTGAAAATGATCATTGTTTTACCCTGTTCACCGGTAGTATCCCTTAACATGGCAGAGTTGGTGGAGTATTCCACATAAAAGATGTGTAATATATGTGAATCTTCTCCTCAAAGTGTAATTAAAAGGTGTAAATGTGTCACACGGGGACTTCCACCGTCCCGACCTGTAGCCGGCTGAGAATAGAGGCGCTCTGGGACGAGGCTCTGTCAGTGGAACAGAGCAGTAATGAACGTCAGGCCTGTTAAAGTGACAGAAGCAGGTCACAACGTTGATCCACTCGTTCAATATATGAATAGCTCCTCGGCTGTGATGATGGAACACTTTTAACCTAATAAATCGAGAGCGGCTCTGATCCTCGGCATCAGCCACATTTCACGCAGCGCTGCCCTGTGGCCATGGAAGTCCTGTTCCCAAGCCTTTACATATTACTGACACTCAACACACAAAGCTGTGTTCACGGGGCAGTGAAGCATTAAAAGTGGACTGTTCTCATAATGTTCAGCCTAATTTCACGGTTTAACCTTGTTTCCTTGCTCAGATTAAATCAGGTCAGTGTGTGTTTAAATGTTTCTGTGAACAGTGCAGTTTTTCAGCAACCCTCTTCAGTGGTGGAAAGTAAATTGACTTGAGTACAAGGAGTGATTGATTTTTTTATCATCATTGTGTCATGCATAAAAATAATGTTACCCGCCCAAAGCTTACAAAACATTGAGGAAAAACCAGGAAAGCAAAACACTCCAAAATGTAAAGAAGTAAAGCAACATTTTAAAGCTGAAGACACTGAGGCAGACAATTAATAAGCATTAAAAAACATTTATTTATGACAGTGCACAATAATGTTTCTGGATTTTAAACTGACATTTAATATAGATATTCTTAGTTCATCATAATAAAGACAATACAGAAGAAAATATTTTGGATTGTCAATCTTTTCAAATGTTCACAACCTGTGTTTTAAAATCTGCTCATTTTGAGGGCCAGATGAAGGATCTGTTCAGTTAAACGTGCAGCTAAAGACCACTGACTCCTTTATGGTATTGCTAAAGCTTAAGATTTAGAGCGATAAATATGCCTGAGTATTATTTTATTTAATGTCTATTTCTTTCAGTTTTCCTTTGTCTACCTCCCCAAAGCACCACACATAAAAGTGCAATTAATTTGCCATAAAAAACAGATACAACTATAAAAAAAACAAAGTAAAAGATGAATTTTACAACAAGTTATTACCAAAAGTGATGTGAGCATAACCATGACCATCCAGTTATATCATCATGAAATGGGCCTTTCGTGAAGAAGGATTATTTTTACTTTCGCTACTATATTTTGATCCTATCCTGTAGTTTTAAGTAAGATTTTTGAAGGCGTGGCTTATAACTTTTACATTACACTGAAATAATAATGCTACTTTCAGAGTTCTTCTCCACTTCGTTTCCGCCGTCAGTGTAATGAGACTCGAACACAAGCAGCAGGAGTCGTTAGGAAAAGTGTGGCTTTAATGTAAACACAACATTCGATTGGCTCAGCACAAACATTCCACATGAGAGCAACCAATAAACTACCAAATAGGATGGGGGGTGCAGCACAAAAACATTCACAGTAAAAAAAAAATCTGGTATAATCATAATATATATACAGTACGGTGCTTTTAAGGTGAAAATGGAGATAGGATATGGGGACTGATATGTGATAGATAAAGAGTATACGGGGGTGGGGAGATAAACTTCTGGGTGCACAGGTAAAAATGGAGAGCTGTACTTTTCTCTGTGTAAAGAGAAATGTGACAGACAGGGTGGGGGGTGGTGGGGGTGGTGGTGGTGGTTGTTCCCTGCTTACTGATCAGGGGAGACGAGCTTTGGGAAAAACTCGGAGCCCCCCCCCCTTCCTCAAATGATATTGTTCTCGTGCAGTCTTCTACTTCTACACAGATTCACATCGAGGGGTAAAGCACCACACGGAGAACAAGATGTCATTGGAAGGCTGCTTTCTACCCTCCGAACAGGTGGTGTGTACCCCAGTTTCTTATGTCAGGAAATAAATATGTGGCACGGGATTTCAGGATGTAGGAGGAGGCATGTAGGGCATGAGGCTAAAATAAATAAATCATTCGATGATAATAATCTGCGATAGTGTGATTTCATTTTCCTAAACTGTCCTTCTCAGATGGTTGGCACCGATATGAGGATTTTAAAATTTATTTTTTAAAGATATCATTGGCTGGATTCCTCACGCTACAGGAGGCCAATGGAAATGGGCCGCCACTCTGAAGAGAAGAATCCTCTCTTTCATTATGTTTAAGAATAAAAAGAGAAAACAGAGAGTGGAAAAGACCTGCAGGCGACTCAGTCATGTGTGGGTCGTAAGGAGAGGGGAGCTTTGTCCCGTCTGAAAGTTAAAATAGCCTCCTTCCCCACCATGACCCTCAGCCACGAGTACAGCACCTCCCTAACTTCATCAACATCATCTCCACCTTCAAACACACAGCAGCTCTTCAAACGCAGCACAACAGGCTAAATTCAGGACAGATATCAATGCCTTCAGACTTCTACATCAAAACATTACATTAAGAAAGGGACAATTAGTCCACGCTGTGTTTAAAAATGACATTGCACACTCTGAGTTCTGCAAAATCGAGGCTCTAGCTGAATACAACCCTGGTGCCGCCCCCTTCTGATCCTCCCTGGTTGTTGACACGGTCATCAACGAAACATGAAACACTCAGCTCAAAAACACAATTTTTTAAAAAGACAAAACTGGGATTGTATATTGAAATCAAAATGAGAGGGAGGGAACAAATCATGGCGATAATCCGGTGTGGTGTCGGACGGCAGCTCTTTGGGTCCATTTGGACGTGTAGAATTACATATTTATGTGTTTTAAGTATCATCAAAATTATCATTATTAACACCTCATACTCCCCATGACAACCCCTGTGCTTGGCCAGGCCTCAGTATAAGCCACACCCTCTAAGGTTGTTTGCAATAATGATGTCAGTGACGGCATCAAACACTACCTGGATGTTTCCTGTGTCTGTGGCACAGGTCAGGTGACAGTAGATCTCCTTGTTGGGGGAGCGGTTCTTACTCTCAAACTGAACCTGAATATATGCGGTAGCATCGTCGTAAGTATTAGCACCTGCAGACAGAGAGAGGGGAAAGCATGAAGGAACAACATTCACCACTATTAGCAAGGATTAAACTAATAATTGGTGAAACAGTAGTCGTAATCAGTTCATCTTTTGAGGAAAAATAGAGGAATTTGCTGTTTTCAGTCACTCAAATGTTAAGATTTCTGTCTTGTATCTGTGAATTATCTAATTAAACTGAATATCTTTGAGATTTGGACTGACTGAAGTAGTTTAAAGACATCACCATGGAGCTCACCTGTGTATTCTGGAAAACAGATCGTCAGCGGTGACTTCTTGATCTTATCACCAAACAGATCCTTCTTGTTGAGGAAGAGGATGATGGAGGTGTCGATGAAGAACTTGTTGTTACAGATGGAGTCAAAGAGCATGAGCGACTCATGCATGCGGTTCTGTGGGAACAATCAATATGTGGTTGTTGTGAGGAGGAGAATAAAAGCACAGATAAAACTACATCACGTTGTAAACAACAACTGATGAATACCAAATCTTTTTCTTTTTTTAGCCATGTTTTTTCTATTGTGATCTAAGACATTTTTAACAGGAGAGACCTGTCCAAGAATAGCACAACACGGATTCAACAATGATCAAATAAGACATGAGAACAATAGTTAAGAAATACGCATTAGATCCATGTAGAAGTTGCAGGGAAACCCTCAAACCTGTCCTTCCTAGTTCATTTCTATGGAAAACAATTAGATCGTTACAAATGCACCCTTTTTATTGAATATTACAAAAAGAAAAAACATGTTTTGGTTTTATAAAAAACGGTCCTGAAATAGGATCCGTCTATTGTTACTGTAACGGGGTTTCCCCTCTCAGGGACATCTGCTCTATTCACATCAAAAACAGGACAAATCTAAAAGTGTTGTACAGTTTGCAAAGCGCCTGGAGACTAATCAGATATTCAAATGTGAACTTATGATCTTCAAATATGTTTGAACCGACTTGGGTGCAGAGCGAAACACTGAAATCTGTGAATTAAGAGAATGTATTGGCGTTTTCAATCTGTAACAATAAACATTTAAGATATATGTTCAGGCATATGTCTTTTGTAGACATTAAACAATTAAGTTCCTTTAAAAGCAAGACTTCAATATTCTCTTTTGGTTTGTAGAAAGTAAGAAGATGCAGAAAGAACTGCTATGTTCAAGAAAAGCTTTCCTGAATTATTGATGCTGTAAGGAAATGCCTTCTCTATTTGTAAGTTGTTTAAAAAAGCATCGTTTTGAAGACGAGTACAAAATAGTTTTATGAAAATGAAAGCTGGAAATAATAACATTTAGCTTTTTAATTGTTATGCTAATGAGGTCTAAAGTTAGGATGTCAATGCATCAAAGGAAAAAAACATCCTAGTGAGTTCTATATTTTATGAATCCTGAAACCAGAACACTTAAATATCAGTTACAGGCCCACAGTGCTCCACAGGGACTCGCTGAATGAGTCACACTTACAGTTGTTTCATCTTCATGGAGCACCTGGTCGTATCCACTCAGAGCAACGCAGAAGATAATGGCGGTCACGTCTTCAAAGCAGTGGATCCACTTCTTCCTCTCTGACCTCTGACCCCCCACGTCAAACAGCCTGGAAACAAGAGCAAGAATTCAATTCAGACCTCAGAGCTGTAATCCCTGAACCGAATCATGCAGAACAACAAAGACCCAGTGGGCGCGATTCTTCACGCAGGCTACCTGAAATGGAGGTTTTTGAAGGTGAAGTGGGTTTCGACGATGCCAGTGGTCTTCACTCGGGTTCTCAGGATGTCCTGCTCTGTGGGCTGATAGTCCGGCGCCCCGATCCGGTCTAGACTGTCCAGGTAGCTGAGAGCGAGAGGGACAAAGATCAGGTACAATGTGGATTAGACGACTGGTGGTGTGGAGTTTTTTTTCAAATGTGGGTTCTTGTAGTCCTTCAGCTTCACTCACTATTGAGCAGAGTCGTTGAGTTGGTACTCCCGGGCGCGGCTGAAGCACTCCTGCAGGCCGGCGTCGGCCCAAACATGCTGCATCGCACTGAGAAGCTCCGCAGAGTACGGCTCTGTGTCCTCCATACGAGTGACCACATCACAGATCAGCTTAGCATCCGCCTGCACAAACACATTACATTAGATCAGGGAAAGAGGAACAACATTATATCTGTGGGTTTGATTTTATTAATCACAGGATCACTTTGAACTTTAACAACATTCATAAAATAACTCAAAGATTGAGTAGGAGATGAGTCGTTTATAGTCAATTGAATCTTAAATTACAATCGTTGTTCTCTTTGGCGACACCTATGGCGATAAGCAGTAGGCTAATTGGCAAGGCGGTCTTTTAGCCTTTTTGTATTTTAAAATGCTTTTTGATTCAAGTATCTTCTATAGTCATAGTGTTTTCCTCGTTTGTTCATTCATTGTAACTGTTTACTCGCAATGCTAGCAGAGAAGAACGAGTCTGTTAAATGAGCGCCACCTTGTGGTGATTTCTCCGTACGTAACGTAATTTTGCTAATGCGTGGGTTTTGACCTGTGGACTTTAGGTTTATCAACAATTGTGTAACCTCATTGGGAATATATTTAAATAAGAATATTTCGGATTATTAATACAAAAGGTTTAAAGTACCTAAAAAAAAATGAAAGGCTGTTTGGAAGCAATCATCCATCCGAAATGTTCCAACTTGTGATAAAGCATACAATACACACGATGTGCAGAACAGAATATTTCAATAGCCAAGAACAGACATGAAGGTGGACATCAGATTTATGTAGAAATAAAAATAAACTTCCCTTTGGCAATAGGGCTGAGAAACACGAGAAAATATATAAAGATGTTGAATACAGTGTTACTTTAGATTCAAAACATATATATTAAAGTAGTGCATGCTAGGTATACCACTCAAATACAAGAATCGCTTATGGAAGAAAAGTAACGTTTTTTTTCCTTTTATTGAACAATTGAATATTTCACTTAGGTCGAAATGCACCAATAAAAGCAAAGTACTTACATCTTAAAGAGCAGTTTCCTAGAGATGCATTATCTTTAACGATGTGTTTACTGCACAGGTTGACATTGTGATGATGATGATAAATAAATGATATGCTGTGCAGCCCTATTCGACAAGAACACATTTCAACCCCTACCTACAAATACAATCTCCGTTTCTCTTCAGTTTGTCGGTAAGAAATCCTACATTTGTAGGTAAATATGAGACTAACTTTTCTATCCTTGTCTCCAAACTCGATGCCCAGTGAGTCCATGGCTCGGAGGATGGCGGCCAAGCTCTGGATGGTGTTGCTGTAGACCACAGGCTTATACTGCTTCACATCATCCCCAGAAAAGCCATCTTCATGGATAATCCTGCAGGCGCACACAGATATGAACACAAAGACACAAGCGGGCACTAAAGGGAATAAGTCAAACATGTCCATATGTTCCCGCAGGCATAAATAGATTTTTCACAAATAACATGCTTTTTCTTTGTGTGCGTGTCAGAGGTGATTCTTCACATGAAAACATAACACATGTATCTTTAAGTCCCATGCTTTCTTCCTATCATCTTTACCTATAATCTTTAGTGTGTCGGCGTATAATGAGCTGGAATTGATCATGTTCTCAGTCTGTGTGATCAGTAATTGGACAGTAATGTGATATTTAAGCCATTCATAATTTATGATGTGCAATGGAGTGGAATCAGTCAGAGCACTAATCAATCACACCATGCAGAACCTCACTGTTACATCCAGCAAGTTTCACTCCTCTTATAATCTGCTCCACATTACATCTTCCTCACCCCGACCTCTTGGGCATTGAATCTATAAAATATGTCAGTCTTTTCTTCCTGACACGTTTGAAATTCCGCTTCTCTTCACCTCCTTTGATGCTTAAGTAAATGAGGGAGGATTATTTTTTTACCTCCATTGGTGCTCGTTATGAATACATGTTTACAGCAGTGGCATCCTCCATCATCATATAAATGAACAGTTAAATGAAATATAACACTAACCTTGAGAAAGAGAGGAACAGTTTCACACAGCAAAGAGCAGTAAACTAATGATTCATTTGTATTATATATTCCTGTAAGGGTGAATTGCCCTGTCTATCAGAAAATAGCAAAAAATGCACATTACATCACATCATGTCAACATCGAGTCCCAACACCACTCCAAAATACAAGGATCGTTAATTATTCATCATGTAAGACAACACAAATAAGATCTCTGCTTAACAATATGGCCGAAAGGGATTTTTCGGTTGTGAGAATATTTACAGATGACAATAAACAAATTAATCAATCAACTAATTGGGGCTTTGGTCGAGGTGAGAGACGCGTCAGTTTCCTATTTTTATTTTATATTCTTTGCATTCATTGTTTGCAAAAGTCCTGTGATCAACACAGGCATAAGTTTAAATGTACATGATGTTACATCTTCAACTAGCAATTGTATTTATTATTGATTCATCTGCAGTTTTTTTCTGTATTCATCGATTAATCGTTTGGTCTTTAAATAATTAATGTCAGGATTTAAAAGTGCTCTTTGCAATTTCCCAGATGCCAAGATGACTGCATCAAATCTTTGATTTTGTCTAAACAACAGTCATAAACTCAGAAATACTCAACTATACTATATATAATAGAGCAATGAGAAAAGGCCCAGTCATTTCTGTGAATGTTGCTTTATAACAATGACTTAAACGATTAGGAGGTTATCAAATAGTTGCAGATTAATTTTTAATGTAATGGACTAATCGTTTCAGCTCTATATGACTACAGTATGCTCGACTGATGAAAACCTGGCCGATCAATCGTAGTGACTGAAAACGTGTAAAAATAGACACCATGACATTTCAGCAGCTCTTCATCATCCTCATGAAGTTTCCTATCGTTATTTAATGGACACTTTCAGATCTGCTGCAGTGTTTCACTGTGTCTATGTACTGTATGCTGCAAATATGGGTACTGATATATGTTTTTACTTATTATTAAGTGGATCCATCTCCAATCTTATGTTAATTTTATGTATTCTACTTCACATGCTTTTCATCTTATTTGTATTATCTACTATCATAGGCAATTGTGTTTTATTCTCCATCTAATTTGCCATTCATATGTAAATCTGAATATATGTTCCCTTGTTGTAAAGCACATTCTGAATTTTATGAAAGGTGCTAATGTTGTTTATTGTTATGATTATTATATTACCTTTATAATCCATACCCAAATCTACTTCATTAATACATTGTCATGCTATTTTACTCAATTATTACATTTTCTGGCCTAGTGATGGTTTTTAGAAAATGTGTATTGCAGGCAGCCTTTATGATTATCACACACACACACGCGCACGCGCACGCACACACACACACACACACACACACACACACACACACACACACACACACACACCCACACACACACACACACACACACACACACACACACACACACACACACACACACACACACTCACACACTGCAACGGAAGTGAAACTACATCAGTTGTAGTTTCACTCTCAGTGCAATCATAAAACCAACACAGCTAGGCCTGCATCACACAATCTGAAACTCTAACCCTTTTATACTGCACACACCATGATGATGATGATGATGATGATGATGATGATGATGATGTATATCGCAGCTAAACTGTACGACACACCGTGTGCACAAACACATCCATCTGCTGCCTGCTAACGTGCAAATACACCCTTACTCGTAAACAATATTTGAAGTCTCTTGTGTTTAGGGCCCAGGAGTTAGTTATGGAAAACCAGGCAGGGACCACAGGGAGGGTAATGAAGTGAAGGGAAGAGGAGGAAGCAGAGCATGCGGGGAGGGAAGGAGGGAGGGAGGGCGCAGTCAGTGCACTGCAGGCCGTGATGCGCGAGCAGGACGGAGGCAGAAGAAAACACTGGGGGAGATGCTTCAATAGACAAAAAAATAAATATGACCATGCCATTTCCCGCACTGAAACATGTCGAAACTTAACTAAGAGGTTTAGAAAAAAACAACAACGGTGATTTAAAACATCAAAGAGTGATTTAGCCTAGACAGGGAGGCGGTTTTAGCAGCCATATTTCTGCGTAAATCCGCTTAATAGGAAAAGTACTCCCGGCGATATCGGGCACTTAAAGCCATTAAGATTAAAAGCAGAGGTATTCACTAATGGAGCTGTAGTGACCTCAATGTAATTCACACACACACACATACACACAAATGCACTCACACGCACACGCACACATGGACGCGCACATACACAGAGGAACAACACCCACATATCCCCAGTAGTCGTACACTCCCTGTAGCGAGGTAAAAAAATGAAAGCCTCGTTAATTAGATTTCAGCACCCCGGCAGTGGACAGCACCGGGACTCACCGGCCTCTGTCCATCTGCAGGAGGCTCGAATCACCGGGGCTCTACGGCCTCTCCAAACATGGCGGCTCAACCTGCCTTAGCACTGATATGGGAGGCGCAAATCTCGGGCCTTTTACTCCGAGGGGGGTTAAAATGAGCAAAGAAAGACACACTTACTTCATCTGTTTGACGATGGTGCTTTTCCCGGACTCTCCGCCGCCTGTAAAATAAAACGGAGGGCACAGTGAGAGCCGGCAGAGAAATCAGTACCACGGAGAGCACCTCTCCCCGCCCCATATGCAGCCCCGCCACTAACCCCCCTCTCGCGGGTCCGCCGCAGAAGCACCGGAGGCCCCGCGAGGAGGCTCTTCTCTTACCGAGCAGTAGCAGTTTCACGTCCTTGGCGGCCACCGCCCCGTCATCCTTCAGGTTCCTTTCGATGGCCTTGCTCCGGTCCAGAGCGGCGCGCTCCTCGGCGCTCAGTGTACATCCCATGTTTCCAGGCGAGTGAGCGATCCCGTGGTCTCTCCTCACCCACTCTCTCAATCAGCGCGTTGTCTCTCGGCTCTCCTCCCCGCGCTGTCCGCTACAGCATTAGGCCCGGATTGAAACAGATCCGGGTCCCTTTTCTCTCTTTTTCTCCGTGACTCTCCGTGTGTGCCTCTCTGCGCGCTCCGGATCCTCTCTCAGAGGGGGTTGGGGGGTGGGGTCGTTGTGCTCGAGCCTGCGGGGCTGGGGTTGTTGTTAGGTGGGGAAGGGAGGCTCTCTCTCTCTTTCTCTTTCTCTCTCTCTCTCTCTCTCCCTCTATAGGGCGGCGCTGGTGATGGTGATGACAGCGAGCTATCTTTCCACGAAGGCAGNTTTCAAATGTGTTTTTTTTTTTTTTTTTCACAACTAAAAGTGGTCATGGAGGAGCGCCTGTGTGTGCGTGGCAGGAGCGCATTTTGTATGAGAGAGAGAGAGACAGAGAGAGACAGAGAGAGTTACGTGGGTTGTTGTTAGCATCTGGTGCTAGCTCGGAGCTAACGCTCTCTCTCTCATACAAAATGCGCTCCTGCCACGCACACACAGGCGCTCCTCCATGACCACTTTTAGTTGTGAAAAAAAAAAAAAAAAACACATTTGAAAAGTGGGGGGGACACAAACAGGATTTTGAAAAGTCGAGGGGACATGTCCCCCCTGTCCCCAGTGGAAATTACGCCCATGTGACATCAGGCTTGATTGGTCCTGAGCATCTTCTGCAAAAGGTAATAATGTTAAAAAATCAGATGTTTTCAGCTGTAATAGCAACATCTACTTGAGGTATTGATTCTTGGCAGCGGCTTCAGTATACAGATGGATTATTCTGCAGTTAATGGCTGTTTTAAACCGCAGATTAACAATGGGTTACCATTCCTCCTGTGTCAGTGTACAGATGTGAACAGGGGCTTATACTAATGCACGTAGTGGAAGCCATCCTGGGGGCGTAGTAGGGGATTTGGAGGCTTAGAAGAAGAGGAGGGGGATATAAGATGGATGCTCAAGTTGGGAAAAAGGCAAGTGTATTTTTATTTAAAAACAGGACAATAAATTGTATCTGCCCAATCTTTTTTTCAGAGTGAATAACATGTAGATCATGCTCTTCAATAACCCCCCCATGACCCACATGGCTGTGGGTGAGACTCTCACTTGGGATGATGCCATTCTCAGGGGTGGCTCTGGATTGTTGGACTCCCAGGTGAGCTGGATTCTCTTATCCTCTGTGGGACGTCCTCCATCTGTCCACATGAAACACTAAATCCGGCTGACACTTCTGATCATGTTCCCTGTTAATGTCATTTGTGATAAACACATTTTTCAATAGTGCAGTCAGATCTTTGCAGCACGTAAATGTGTGTTAACAAATGGGCGATTGGTAATACAGTTTATAATTCATTTGTGTTTCAAATAACGGTTCTAAATACTAAAGACCGGAAATGAGAACACTATAATCCAGTGTGCGGTGAGGGATGCCGTCATTGGTCGGCTGCCTGCAAACTCTCGCCTTGTGCCCCTCCCCACACACACACACACACACACACACACACACACACACACACACACACACACACACACACACACACACACACACACACACACACACACACACACACACACACACACACACACACACACAGCATCCTCTTACTCTCTGTGATGCAGCGTTCCCATTCACTGTTAATCCAGTCTGGTTGTGGCTCTGCTTTACTTTTAAAATCTAATCATTTATTAACAAATGGAAGTACTCGTCCCTTTTTAAATCAGATACTTTGGGGAGCTTCTCATCAGAGGCTCGGGTTCAGAGGTGGATCTCAGCTCCACGGGACTCGTGGAAGGAAAGATGAAGAAGTCCCAACGAGGCACGGCGACTATGCTGCTGCCCATCGCTCTCTGCCTCAGTAAGGATGGTTTTTTAAATGCTCTCTGACTGTGATGTGCATTTAAGTCTTTAAGTTTTAAAGTACTAAGTTTGCTTATGCCTGTCCTTTATCGGGCACTTATACTATATCAATGATGTGTCTGTTTGTTCCCCAATGCGTAGAAGGGATCAGAAGGTTTGTCAGAAAAAGCCCAAAGTATTTACGGAAAGACTCATTTATTTAGCTTGTTCTAAAATTGATAAGCGATGGGTTTACTAATGCACTTACCTTAATGAAATGCTCACTGTCCCTCATGTACTGATTCTCTCTCATCCTCTGTGCGTGCGTGCGTGTGTGTGTGTGTGTGTGTGTGTGTGTGTGTGTGTGTGTGTTTATGTATTTGGTGTACAAAATCATATATTTAGGTGTGGATTCTGTTATTTTTTAGGGTATTTTGATGTTTTTACTCCTCTCAGGAAGTTTGTTGTAAAACACATGTGATGGCTTGTGTAGAAAAAACATACTATGGATACTATGGTTGTAGAATAGTATCCATAGTACTATTCTACAATAGTATAATAGTACTATGTAGCACTACATAGTACTACATAGTACTATGTAGTGCTTTTGGATCTATGGTTGTAGAATTTGGATCAATGACTTTGGAAAAATCCAAGACTAACAAAATGTTTGCAGCAAAATCATGATGAGCATTATTGTGGGATGAATAGTAAACTAGAAATCATGACACAATTCACACAAATTAAAGCAGGCAAATACAACAAGATAAAAAAATACATAACTAATGTTCATTCAGGCCTAAATAATGAAAGTATTATCTGTCTGAGCCGTAGACAGGGGTCAGCTATTGGTAAATCTAAAACAAAGGTGAAAAAAGGTAAAATTAAACATAGCTTCAGTGGATGAAATAACACACCTGATGGTTCAGACTCTCAAGTGACACTTAGGAGAGATATTCAATCTTTAGGTATTGGTATTGTTGACGAATAAAGGTCTGAACAGATTTAGTGATATCTATGAATTAATGTCTGACTTCGCCAATAGCTTAGGATTCATGAAGAAATCAAAATCCTTGGTTTGATGTAAGGTCAAAAAGATCTTGTTTTGTAAGTTCATAATTTCAAGATATTCAGTTTAATATTATAAATCAGAGAAAAGCAGGAAATCTCTATATTCTAGAGATTATGAATTGGTCAACTCAGAGTATGGATGTGAGTGTGTCAATCAATAGATATCTTCCTGTGAGTTTACGCTCAAATGTCCTCTGCATATCAAGTCAAACATTGATTCACAACTTTTCTAAGGAAGATTGTGATGACTCAAACTAGTCTCAGCGTGTTATGTATGAGCTGATCGATCAGACAGCTCCTGCACTGAATTTGGCTTTGAGGTTGTATAATCCCTCCAGATGAATGGAAATCAACATATTTCTGTATTTGTTTGATCCGTCTGAGCACCAGATGGATTATTTCTCTATAAACATAAACATTGTGTTTCACATCACAAGATGAAATCCCTGAACCAAACAATCTCTCATCTCTAAACACATCTATTTTTGTATACTCATGTTCTATTGTCCGGCAGTGGCTCAGTCAGTACAGCACACAGCTTGGACTGTGAGCCGTAGGGTCGCCGGTTCAAGTTCCCGACCAGACCTAAATATGGAGTGTGGACTACTTGGAGAGGTCCCAGTTCACCTCCTGCCCTGCCGTGGTGCCCTTGAGCAAGGCACCGGACACCCCCCTTCCCCCCTCACTCCCATTGCTCCCCGGGTGCTGTACAATAGCTGCCCACTGCTAGTACTAGACTCCTGGTACTAGGATGGGTTAAAAGCAGAGAACACATTTCACTGTGTGTGCTGTGTGCTCTGCATGTGTGACCATTAAAGAGGGTTTCAACCCTCCCAATTCTTCTTCTTCTCTCCACCAGGCCTGGTCCCTGTGAGTTTTGGAGCGGCAATTCCAATTTCATGTGATTCCATCTACAAGAGTTTCGCTCAGTGTTTACTTACACTTGGAGACAGTTTGGTGGAAACACAAAAAGACCAAAACACACAGGACATCGATGCAATCTGCAGGTGTGTATCTGTCCAGCACTTTGGTAACCATCCCCTGTCTGTCTTGAAACAACTTGTCTCAGATTGCTGAAGTTATTACTATTAAAGTTGCTCCAGTCTATTAATGAAATGTCTCAACAAATATTGGCTCTTTTGCAATGCAATATTTCAGCTGAACTTTATGTTTCTGACTGAAATGTGCTAATATGACGAACATACAACCTGCATAACGTCAGCATGTTAGCATTGTCAGTGAGAGAATGTTAGCATGCTGACGTTAGCATTCAGGTTATAGCACCAGGTACAGTCATAGATTGTTTAAAACCATGTTGTCCTCAGAGTTTGTGAGTTTTTGCAGTGACAAACTTACAGAGATGTATCAGCTGACAGCGCATGATTTGGGTTTATGGCCGACACCTCAACTCTGTCTCCTACAAAATTACATTGACATACAGCTAAACTGTGTACAAAACTATGTTTAGGGGAAATGTTTCTCAGGTTTCATGTCCGGTGTCATCATTTCCTTTCATTATCTCTAATAAAACATGCTTTGCTTTGGGCCTGTATTAATAAAACAAACCATTATCACCATGAACCACAGGTGTTGTCAAATAAACATGGGCCAAAACGCTACATTATAACCTCAAAAACGAATTTGTTTCTGTTGGATGTGGTTTGAATTGTGCTTTATTCTTACCACACCCAAAAGTCATGCATGTAATAAGTTTACACATACAGACATACTGTCTGAAAATGCTACATTCAACATTTCATTTTTAGTAATCTTGTTGGTTATGTATAGTGCTTTTTACATACATAAGTGTCAAACAGAAACTAACCTAGATTGCACAGCAACGTGAGGGGTTAATCCACTCAAACTCAGAAGAAGTGTTACATATTTCTTAAACATTTGCTCAAATGGTAACTGTTTTATTGTACATGTTACCCTGCAGTCTTCACATTTCCGCTCTGATCTGCTCTGATCTCCTCGTTCCTCGAAGGTCCTGGAATGCGTTCCATGTGTGTGCCAACTCAGCTCTGGCCGGTTGCCCGGGAGACGCAGCAGCCGTCTGGGAGTCTCTAAGACAAGAGTCCAGGAAGACGCAGTTCTCCGGAAACCTCTATGACATGTGTGCCAGCCGCACCACCCTCCCACCCAGCACTGTGCCTGCAGCCCAGAGCCCCCCCACCTCCGACCAGACCAACAAGGAAACACTGAAAGGGCAAACCAACAGGAACAGCCCCCCCTTCAGTTCTCTGATGTTCCCTGTGTGCAGCACCTTGCTACTGCTGCTCAGGAGTTAGTTAAAAGAATACTTCACACAAGAAATGATAAGTAGTTTAAAAAACTACTCACCCTTGGAACTTTGAATTCTTGGAAAAAACTATATGTTTCTTGCATGAAACAAAAACTGAGAAACATTTTGATGAATTGAAGTGGATGCCATGGTTAATGGAGTTTACAAAGCCTCAAACAACCCATGCAGTTTAATGAAGGTTCATTTATCCTGACATATGCTCACTACTTTCCAAACACATGCATTATTGCTATAATCTCATTATTTCAAACACTTCGGCGTAAACATGTTCACGCTTGTGCAGACATGCTACTGTTACGTGCAAGTCTGAAGTGTGTTTTATAGCCTGATCATTTTTGCAAAAAGTTAAGTTTTTTGGATTCTGTGTTCACCTCGGAGAACTGTGAGAAATACAAAGCTTTCTTCCAGAATCCAAGGTAAAACTTGGTGAGTAATTGATTTTAAAACTATCGTTTTGTTGGTGAAGTATTCTTTTAACTGGTGGTCAGCGTCCTGCTCCCCCCTGTAATCCAAACAGAGTTCAATAACTGGATCAAACGAAATATCTGGTTCAGTTTTTTGTACCTGAAAAGGCATTGAATAAATAACAATATGTTGAATTTATCACATGCTTTGCTCTTAGACCAAAAAGCTGACAAAAGGTTTATTTAATTCTGACATAAATATTAAAATGAAGTATACTTGCAACTTAAATGATTGATTGTGATTCAATTCATATTATTGCTTGGCCATATTTTATAGGCTGGAGTGACAAACCTTTGATTTAGGGAAAGCAGAAGAGGACGTCCTATTCACTGAAAATACTTAGCTGAAAGACTAATCTCAGTTATGTTACATTTATGACATACTAATGGTTGTAAACCCTTTATTTCTACCACTTCTGCAGTACAGAAATACAGCCTGATTTTTTAGGACAAAGGAGATTTTAAGGGACGCCAGGTGTTCAGATTGTGATCCAATCAGGTGTGATCTAGAGCAGAGTATTATTGCAGGGTGCAAACATTTGTTATTGTGCAGCTTAATTCATCCCCCTGTCTGACCTGTTTAATATCAGAACATAATACTGTCTTTGGTGGCATCCTTTGCAGTGTGCACATGATGTTGCAAAAATATTGTCAGTTGTTTAAACTGTGTCATTTCCTTTGACCTGTTCAGTGGTTTTCCTTATTTCAGGTATGTGTTGCTTTTCTATTCTGAACAGCTGCATTCAGTAAGGTTTGCTTCAAGACCTCTATATGGGGGGGGGGAGAACAAAGAAAGACACACAGGACAACGGTACAACGGTGATGTAAAAAGGGAGTTTATTTCCCAAGTTTCATCCATATAACATTAACAGTTGCTGTAATGTTAATTAATGCTGTTGTTTTTCTTTGATACTGAGCTGTAATGCAATCACAGACTGCAATGTATTTACTGGTTTTCACATTACCAATGTATTTATTTTGTTCATTTCCATTTTATTTTTTTTCACTGCAGTAAAGAGTGGTACATGCCTTTTTGTTTCACTCTGATTTCAACCCAACAAACGCTTAAATTAAAGGTGTTCTATATTCTGACATACACAACGCAGTTATTTTCCTTTCATCGCAACTGTTTTCTTTTCTTGAAGACATGGGTTTTGTGTCAGTTGCGTGTATGTTTGTGTGTTTGTATGTGTGTATGTTTGTGCGTGTGTGCGTAATCTGAATTCTCTTAATCTGTTTCATAACAGCAGAATCATGAGTAGATTAATCTCATCTGTCTTTATTCGTCACAGTGTAGCAGGTTGCTCCTCGAAACCCTTGAAAACAGTCTTATTGTCCCCAGAGCATGCAGCGCAAACATTGCAAATGAGAAGTGATGAGGATTGGTTTTGTGGTGTTTTGCCTTGTCAGCATTGTATGAAGTTGAACTCAAACATGACATTAGCAAGTGTGACACCTAAATGTCAGAGGTGGTATCTTCATTACTGCAGCATGCTGAATTTAAGGAGTTATTGCAGCGGTCACTGAAACCTCAAGTGGACCTCCTGCTTTATATTCTGCTATATATTCACATGGCACACTGATTAAATGCAACCATGCAGCACCTTTAACCCAAAGTTCACAGGTTTAATGGCTTATTTAAATAATGCTTCTTCATACAGTTCCCAGCTTATGATTCCAGTTGCATTTTGCACAGGCTTGCATGACGTACATGATTACATTATTTTTAAATCTGAATAATCAGACTGCGTGTTTAAAGGTCTCAGACTCTGTATTTATTTTTTTGCTAACAGGCTACATAAAAACCAGATTATAACCCTGATTTGGTCATGACGACAAAGCGTGGCAGGTCACCGTGGACAGAGAGGATTCACATATAAAGCTGTCTTACTCTTGCAGTGATTTTATGCATATTTTAAACAGGAGTTTTTTTTTACAACAACAATATCAATTATACATGTAATATAATTTAAAATGGAAAATATAAAAACTAAAGTCCTGAGATATTTTTGGGAACAGCACATGCCTATGGTATACAATAACAACTTTGGACTGTCCCCATAACACTTCTGCTCTCTCTAAATCTGCAAAATCACCATAACATCATTTTGAAGGTGCCTCAAAGCCCTAGCATTTTGGGAACAGCTGTTCAAAAAGATACAGTTAGTTAAAGTTCATTTTTCTTTGGAAAGTTCCTCCTGATGTAGAGAAAAGTTCATGAATGGGACCGATGCCATCTGCCATGTGACAGATTGTGTGTAGCATGAATCATGAATGGATTATGAATTAGACCGGGACTTTGTTTAAACTCCTCATGCTACAACAGTGTAAACTGCACTGCACACCAAATCTACATTCATGATTCTGTTAATACAAAAATGTGATATATAACATAAATAAATGAAAAGTAAATAGTGGCCAATCTCTTTGGTGATTACAATCAGAATGACAACAAAGTCGAGCAAATGGAGGACATTCGAGTCATGTGGGTTACCTCTTAATGAAACTGTGCAGGATTTCCCAGAGGAAAAAAACAACAATATATAGATTTTATGCAAAGTAATCCTTCTCAATCATCAGTCTTGACCCACTATGTGCAGTAGTAGAAGTAGTAGCAGTAGTAGTAGAAGTGTGTGCAGGTGTCTGTATGTACAGGGACACAGAAACCCCCCACCTGTGTTTTCCCTTTTTTTGCAGCATATTTTTGCCATGGAGCCCCTTGCAAGTTAAGCCAGCAATACTTTCTTGACTAATTTCTTGAATTCTTATGATTTTATAAAGTTCATTCATGGTTTTATTTAGAGGAGGTCCACTGATGGGTTTGTTTGTAGGAAAAACAATGTGTATTATGAACACAGTACATGTATGGACAAAATGAGTAAACATAAGAAAACAACACAATTACCTTTATCTGTAGGCTTCTTCTTCAGAGACAGACACAACTTAAAAGAGAGAGCCATGGAGAGAGACAGAGAAAACACAAGCAAACATACTCACTTTAGTGATATATGTGTCACCTCAGAGTGAAATGTTTAGTAATCAAAATGTCCAATTAGACCATGTGAGTCGCGTGTGCTCGTGGGTGCAGGCTATATATCTGCAGGGTTTCCCTCTCAGCAGGTTCAAACTCTCAGAAGCATGAAGCGGACACCTGGACTACAGAAGGGTTAGTTTTGTCAGAAATCGTTCTTGAGAAGTATCAGTTATATAGGGTTAAAGCTTCGCTCAGGATCATGGAGGAACTGGCCCGAGAGAGCATCAACCTGCTGGCCCGCTCTGCGTCTCGTTCCGGCCCCCCGCGGCTCGGTTCATTCGGTGCTGTGTTCATCATGCTGAAGTCTGCGCTGGGTGCCGGACTGCTCAACTTCCCCTGGGCTTTCCAGAAGGCAGGGGGAGTGAATACTGCCCTCAGTGTGGAGCTGGTGAGGATCACACACCTGCAATATTGTATATTTTAATGTATAATACATTAAAATAGAATTGTTGATGGATTGAACTGCAAATCCCTTCATTGTATTTCCCTTAACATATATAGAGATATTTGGGGGCTTAGTTTGTCTGTTAGCCTGCTGACTGTATATGTATGTACTCACCACCACTCAGTCACTCCCTGGTGTGAAAGAGGCTCATCTATTTCACAGGTGAACTCTAATGAGCTTCCAGTTAAGGGAGAGCCTGAACTTTCATAGCACGTGTGTGTGTGTGTGTGTGTGTGTGTGTGTGTGTGTGTGTGTGTGTGTGTGTGTGTGTGTGTGTGTGTGTGTGTGTGTGTGTGTGTGTGTGTGTGTGTGTGTGTGTGTGTGTGTGTGTAGATTTCACATTTCAACTTTCCAGGAACAAGCTATGAGGTCCTAAGGAGCCTCTGATTGCTCTTGATCTACATTTGAGTCCTTTTCCACCTGTGTTTTTATTATGAAACTACATGTTAAAACAGTTTGCATTCATTTAAACACAAGTTAGGAAGCCTATTAATTAAAATAGAATATATATGGATATCATATCATTTCTTTCATTTGTCGATCTAATGCAGCAGAAAGCGGTAGTATATTTGGATTATAAATTAAACAGTATTATATGTTTTAAAGCAAAACGTGATTTACCTCGTTTCATGTATGGAAATGTTGTATTAACTTGTTTGCTTGAACACATTTTCCTCCAACCTCGTGACATACAGATGCTTGCTCAGGACCCCTTTAGTGTATATTAATATGCAGGTTTGTCAGATAGACTTCAATATGTGATTAACATTGTGAATCTAAACAAAGATACTTGTTAAGGTTTAGGAAAAGATCATGACATGGGTTTAAAAAAGTAGTTTTTTTATGTGACTTGAAATCCATTGTTAGTTAAGTATGTGAATTGTGTGACATAAATGAATTTACACACAAAGGTTTGAATGGTCACACTTCACTCAAACAGCAGTCACTGTGGTTTTTTCATCATCCCTAATCTCGTCTTGATGCAAACTTTGACTCTATTTGTACGGCGTCACCTGACCTCCTCCTCAACTCTTGTCATAAATACTACCGCCTCTAGAGGCAGCCCTGTACATACCCAACAGACGTCAGAGAGACTTGTGGAGTGTCTCAGTTTGATGTGTATGGTCTCTGAACAAGGTGCGGTAGTTGATGAGTTAGGAGCGAGAACACGCTTGGACTATGACAAACTATGGACCAAAGTCTCAATCAATATATCTATAAATGCAAATTGACATTCAGGTGCATTTTGAACCAATATCACAATACAGGTACACATCAAATAATCTGAAATAAAAGCAAGTAACACATTTCTGATCTTGAGGAAAGAGAGGATGGAGATTCTTTCTTTCAGGAGTGTCTTTTCACAGGCCTGAGTCCGGAGCCCAATTGCCTAATGATCTGTCCATGGTGTGTGTTTGTGTGTGTGACGTGCAGGTTTCCCTGGTCTTCCTCATCAGTGGTCTGATCATCCTCGGCTATGCCTCCTCAGTCAGCAGACAGAACACGTACCAGGACGTGGTGAGGGAGGTGTGTGGAGGAGCGGTGGGTCAACTCTGTGAAATCTGTTTCTGCTTCAACCTCTTCATGATATGTGTGGCCTTCCTGGTGGTGGTGCAGGACCAGCTGGAGAAGTGTAAGTGCTCAATGAGCTTATTTTTCAAGATGCAGCTTCTCCTATTTACAAACAGACCACTTAGATTATTGTCTTTTTCTTTTATTATCCCCTTTCTCTATGAAGAATGTATCCTTAATGTCCTTTAACACTGTCAAATACTCTGCTAACTAAAATGATTGTCTAAACTCTTTAAACAGCCTTTATTTCCCGTTATAAATATGAACAATATGAAAAATACTTGTGCCAGTATTTTAATCTGCCCTATTTTATTCTTATCTATTCTACTCTGTTTCTTTTGGCACTTTACAAAAATATACATATATTTGTATTGTTTTATGTCCTATATATAATAAAGACTGATAAGTATGTCAAATCAATTATATGGTGAGCATGAAAACTGTATTATATCTATATTATTCATTTATCGTTGCAGCAGATAAATAATGGTTAAAATGTTGTTCTTCTTCCAGTGAGTGTTTCTTTATACGAGACGGTGACTGGGTCCACTGAGATGCCGTACCACTGGTACACCGACCAGCGGTTTTACCTCTTCATCATGTGTGTCATCATCATCCTCCCCTTGTCCATCCCAAAAGAAATCGGCATCCAGAAATACACAAGGTAAATTACACTTATCATGGATCAGAATGAGATAGAGCTCACATTTGTGTGTGGTTTACTGTAACAGTGTTTTCTTTGTGTCAGTGTGTTGGGGACGCTGGCGGCAACATATCTGTGTGTGGCAGTGATCGTAAAGTATTACCTGATGGAGAGCCACAATGTTATAATAACTCCAGAGCACAGCGAAGGGTCAGTAACACTGTTTGTAATGGATACGTGTGTGTTTAACTTTTTGTTCTCATTCTATGCAGCGTGTGTGCATCTGTAAATGTGAGTGTGTGTGTTTGTGTTTTCAGTGTGGGTTCGTGGGCTTCAATGTTCAGTGTCGTGCCGACCATCTGCTTTGGCTTCCAGGTAGGATCAACTGCATGCTTTTAAGTCTAAAAGTAGGCAGCCCGATGCTAGACATTTAAGTGGTTTAATGTGGACCTAAATTTGTCCAAATAGAAAAAAAAAAGAAAGTTGACTCACAAACCAACCAGCAATAACAGACAACTAAAAAGCACGTGGAGCCTGAAGACATTATGAACTATGGTAGTGATTTGTCTGAATGCCCAATGTGTCTTTGTGTGTCTTTGTGTGTGTCTGCAGTGCCATGAAGCCTGTATTACCATCTACAGCAGCATGGAGAACAAGAAGCTCTTAAACTGGGTCATCATCTCAGTGGTCTCCATGTTTTTCTGTTTACTCATTTACACTCTCACTGGTGAGTTCAACTCTAAAGCAACTCTATTAACCTCAGTTTATTTGTGCTTCCCTGAAAACTGCTCTTCACCTCCCCTTTCTCCAGGTGTGTACGGCTTCATGACGTTTGGACGAGCGGTTGCCTCCGATATTTTGATGTCATATCCAGGAAATGACGTGCCAATGATCATATCCAGGCTACTTTTTGGAATATCAATCATCACCATCTATCCTATTATTCTTCTCCTGGGGAGGTGAGCAACAGCAGAGTTGAGACTGTCTTACAAATCAACTTTGGAAAATACCAGGGAAATCATCTCCACACGTTGTAGTAGTTTTCTTGACTTTGACACTTGTTGCACACAACAGGAGATTGACCGTATCTCAACCCTTATCACTTACTGAAAATACTCTGTTTGGTTCAGGCGAGTGGTAGCTTTGGGTTGAGTGTGTAGAAGCATGACATGACGTTGATTACACAGCTCAGTTTTCATACTGAACTTTCCTCCCAAGTTCCCAGATCTAGTTAGGGTTAGGGTTCGGATCAGGGGGTCACAGGTTCAAACCCCACTGCAGTCAGCATGTCGTTGTGTCCCTGGGCAAGACACTTCACCCCAAATTGCTGCTGTGGGCATTGCCCAGAGTATTTAGTATGTAAGTCGCTTTGGATAAAAGCGTCTAACAAGTAACGTGTAATGTAATGTAACCCCAGTTACACCTTTTCGTTGCCATGCTATTTCTTGTAAATTAACCTTCTTTTTGACCCAGGTAATGGGCTTCTCTATTCACATATTGGACATTATCTTTGTATTAGGCGACAGGCAGGGTAAAGTCTGCTCCAGAAGACATTTGGACATTGGTATTCTCACAGCTCCTCAGGTTTGCAGGGCATGTGTGAAAGGAGATTTCGTTTTTTGCATAGTACAACTTGTGTATGTCTTTTAAAAGTGAACATGTTGTCCTACTGTGTGTGGTGTGTGTGTGTGTGTGTGTGTGTGTGTGTGTGTGTGTGTGTGTGTGTGTGTGTGTGTGTGTGTGTGTGTGTGTGTGTGTGTGTGCAACAGATCTGTCATCCTGAACCTGATGGTGCGTATTCAAAGGCGTCGCTGGGGAGTCGTCACCCATTCGTTTGAGACTCGCTGCAGAGTGGTTCTCACTGTGATCTGGATCACCGTCACTCTTCTCATCGCCATGTTTGTCCCCGACATGGGGGAGGTCATCAGTGTCATCGGGGGAATCAGCGCCTTCTTCATCTTCATCTTTCCTGGTATGTAACAATGTCTCCTTTGAATTAAGTGTCTGTGTTTGTACTCACACAATGTGCAATGTATGGCTTTTATGTTCATACATGTCTATATTATTTGTGTGTTGCAGGTCTTTGCTTAGTGTTCACAATGCAAAGTGAACCTGTGAGTCCAAGAGTCAGGTGAGTGATTATTTACACACTCGTACTCTATGTGTATAACATTATTATTTGACATATCATATATCATAGGGAAACAAATATGGTGTTTAACTGATCTTCCAATTATTTCATTTCAACTGTTTAACTGCTAGTGTAACGAGTATAATTGCAAGTATTTAAACAAAAAAAAGTGTGATATTTACTTGTCTCTTAGTGGAGATTTAATTCCTAGGAAATATCTATGTTTCTAATGATTACAATTAAATTACTTTTTCCCAGGAACATTTCTAGGAAATGTTATGAAAATAGGAATGATACTTTTTTTTATATTTGGATGCTGTTCATGGAAACACGATGAAGATTGTCACATCCTGCAGTGCAAAATGTACAAAAGTCATTTATCCATCCAACCAGTGATCACTATTTAGTTAAAAAGTCCTTCTTATAGAGTCTGAACTGCGTCGTATCCTAAGAAAGAAAGAGCAGTCTTCCTTTTTTGTGTAATTAGATGGATTTTCTTTTGGAACATTAAGGCTTCTACGGGCATTTTTGTCTACAAATTTGATCAAGAAGATTCATACTGTTTCCTGATGACTTGTTTTTTAAGTCATCTGTTTATCTTGATGTCCCTGACACTGTTTTGTTTCTGCAGGGTGATTTTAACAGTCTGGGGAGTTGTAACCATCGTAGTTGGATCTTTCATCTTCGGACAGAGCACGACCATCGCTATAATAGAGATTTACCAGAAATTCTGATTTTCACACCTTTATCTCCACTTCACTGTCTGCAGCAGCTGCTTCACTTTGACTTCACAATGTGTTTTGCACAACTTAAAGTTGCATTTGTAAAGGTGGTTTATAATTGTATATATGATCCTTATCAAGGTCTTCCATGACTTGGTTATAATATAATATATATTTACAAACCAGTAATGTAATATCTCTATCTGTGTATGTGTTACAGACATATTGGATTTAAATGGATTGTTATTGGACAACAATATAATGTCAAGAGAAGAATGTAGGTATTAATTGTAAAGTATATGTGGCTGTTTTAATAATTAATTTAGGATTACATTACCACCCCTATTGTATAGAATATTAAATAAGAAAATACAAAGTGTATCTTTGAGTCTTTAGTTGTAGTTGTGCTATCCTGCCAGGGGGCAGTATTGTACAACTGATGCATATTTATTTATCTGCGTAGTCACTCATTCATGTGTGTGTGTGTTTGTGTGTGTGTGTGTGTGTGTGTGTGTGTGTGTGTGTGTGTGTGTGTGTGTGTGTGTGTGTGTGTGTGTGTGTGTGTGACTGTGTGTAACTGCATATTGGAAACCCAGATAAGAGAAACTGAGTTCTTATCATTGTTAAAATGGTGCCAGGATCATTTTTGACAGGAGAGTGACTATACACACAATATTCTGTTTTTATGTAGACAGATGGATTTTATGCCCTTGGAATTCTTGTTTGCATCGACCAGATAATATCATTAGTTTATCGTATTAACATTTTTTTGTTTCAACAACACAATTCTTATCCTTCCTCTGCATTTCTCCACTTTCTGACCTCCACATGGCCTGAATCCTCTGAGTGATATCAATCTGCAGCTTTCATTGAGCTCAGATTGATGGCCGAGGTATGCTGAATATCACTGTTTATTGTTTATTGACTTCAAGCTTTCAAGAGTTATGGCATGCTGCCCGTGAGCGTGCACATGCTCACAGATGTGTGTTAGTGTATGAGTGAGTAATGATTTACAGTAAATCGAGAAAAAGGCTCTGTATCTGTGCCTGGGGGGGGTCTGCTCTAAAGCTGCGATGCTGACTTCACATACTTATCTTTCTGAACACACACAGGGTAAGAACTTAATTCAAAAATAGACCATCTGGAAACACGTAGCAGCTCTTTTTAGACACTTCAGCTGTGTTTGTGACATTTCATGCAGAGTTAATGTCCTTAGGGGAAAACCTAAAACTGTGATACTCTACTTATGTTTAGCCCATGGGATTATATTTCTAACCTGACGGCCAAATGACTAAATCCACTAAATGGTGAAAAAGAAATCCTTGAAAACCACAAAAACTCTTTCTTGAATCCTGCAGCTTCACTTCATGTCGACTGCACACAGATTTGTGAATGCAACTCAGCAGTCCTGGGAAATAAAACTAACATCAACCAGGATTTAAAACACAGCTCTGTTCTCTGCAGATATGGAAACATGGCCTACCTGGACCTAAATCAAGACACTCAAAAATAAAAGCTTCAGCTAAATGTAATGTAATTGTCTATAGCATTAAACAGTACAGCTGAGGCTGATGGGGATGTCATTAGTAGCACTGCAACGATTATCATCAATTCATCTATAACGATTGAATCAACAATCAACAGGAAATGGACAACTCTGTTGATAGTAGATTAATTATTTGAGTACATTTTCCAGTGAAAAATGCAGAAAATGCTACTGTTTTCATCAAATATGGAAATTTCCTGATTTCAATGTTTTAAACCATCTTCAACTAAATGTCTTTGGGTTTTGGACTGACTCAACAAAAAGACATAACTCTGGATTTTGAGAAAATGGGACGGAGATTTTTGACTATATTCTGGCAGTAAGATATTATGGTATCATATTTTATAGACCAAATGATCAATCTTAAAGACAATCAGCATAAGTAACTAGATTAAAAAGAATATTTAATTGCAGCCCTGGTAATTAGTCATTGGTACCTAATGATGGTGCTTAAGAAAAAGTCAGTTAGTAATTACTGTTCAGCCTGCATGTCAAAATGTTATGGCAATCCATAACTTTTACATTTCAATCTGAACCAAAGTGGTGGACCCACTGTCACTGCTATCCCTAAAGCAGTATCCACTCGCATGGCTTTAAATCATCCATTATTCTCTGCATCAGATTATCTTTTCATTTTCCACGGCCCTGTGAAAAATAATTTCCAGTCCTCATTATGATGTTGTCCCCTGTAGCTACTTGGTTATTGAAAGATTACTTTTAATGTCGGTTTCTCGCGGTCCTAATTTATGAAATGACAATTTGTTGCGACATCCCTTTTAAATGTTAATTGTTTCTGATAAGAGTGTCAGCAAAATTCCTGAATGATCTTCTGTGTGTGTGTGTGTGTGTGTGTGTGTGTGTGTGTGTGTGTGTGTGTGTGTGTGTGTGTGTGTGTGTGTGTGTGTGTGTGTGTGTGTGTGTGTGTGTGTGTGTTTTCTCTCACAGTCACTGTCACACTGATTGTAATCTGAAAGCCTTTTGTGTTACAGAATAGGGGGAAAGCTATTTAGCTCCTGTGTGATTTGCAGATAACTGGCAGTTTTATGACCAAATAAAGTCAGGGTTGTTACTGCATACTGTATGTACGACATGCTTGTGTGCATGCATTGAGTATGACCTTGATTTCTATGCATCAAGGTTATGGCCAGCAGGTTGAAATCATCATCATGGTGATAACATGCGTCCATCACCTTGCTGCTCAGGCCTTTAGTGAAGTGTCGACAGCAGAGCTCTGACCTCTGGGCCTGACTCTGCGGGATAATGGCTGCCGTGGCAACAAGCTCAGGTGAAGGATAGGCCTCTGTCACCTTGTGAGAGTGCAGCAGATAGGATGACATTAAGTCCTATTTGTGATACCAGAGGCACACAAATGTCTTTGCCTGGCTGCAACAATGTTTAACCGTGTTAACAGTGTCTAGTGTAGTGTGTTGCATTTATAGACAACATATTGAATGCAAATAAAAAAATAACACTTTAAAAGGCATGTGGACAAAATGTTTACAATCTACTTCAAACTAAATCTTTATGTATAAGATAAGCAGCATTTAATCCAACAAAGGTTTAGTTTAATCATAAACTAGATGTGCACATGTTTGTGAAATGTATTCAAATCAATTGAGAAGATCTTTGCCATTTCAAACTTTATGAAAGATGTGATGTTTTCAAACATATTTTCTTTTAAACCAAAGGATTAAAGTCACAAAAACAAACTGTGGGACTGATACAAGTTGAACACAAGAAAAGGATTGTCAAATCTACAAAGCTCCACAAACTTTAACTAATTAGATTTACTTCAGTTAGATATGGTGAATATAAACATGAAAAGAAACAGAGAGAAACATGAGGCAGAAGTAATCCTATCATTGCATTTACACATGAGACAGTGAATAACAATGAGGAAAAGAAACTAGCACTAAGACTGCATCATACATTTATTCTTCCTGTCATGTGCAATTAGGCTTCGTTCGCCCACTTTCCTTAATCTTTCCAACCAATTAAGAATCATAGGGAAGCGATGACTGCAGCATTCACATCTTTTTGGTTAAAAACCATCATCACATTTTTACAAATAGTGTCCACAATGACCTTTGTCCTTTTTAATCTAATCACAAAACTGTAATTCATTGTAAAAATCTTTAGTATGTTTTCACATGTTTGCATTAAGTAATACGATCTTTTTTCCAAAATGTACAATATCTGCACGGCAATATGTCTGTGTTACATTTTTATAGCCAGCTTTTTCAGAACACAGGACGCTTTAATCAGAAACAGGTTTATTGCCAAGTAGGTTAAAACATACGAGGAATTTGTCTTGGTGTACATAGTGTGTACACAGTTAAAGAAGATAAACACAACCACTGTCACTGGTGGAGTCACACGGTTGGTTTGTTAGTGGAGACTGAGTGAGCTGTCCTTTAGGAAAAACACACCACATCAAGTATGGATGCTGTCTGTCTCTCTTCCCATTTGCAAAGCATATTTAATATTTTTCACAGTCACACCAATCTTTAAAACCTCTTTTTAATCAATTTAGTTTTCCTTCCTTGTTTCCTTGTTACCTAGGGAGCAAAGACCCTTCAAAACAAAAATCCCTAAAGAAATGTAATTAAATACAAATTTCACTCAATTTGCCGTACTAGACAAAAATCCCAGAAGAAACTTAAAGGTGTTGTTCAGATAGTTCAAAGTGTGGTTTTATTAAATACATAGCTGTAGTCAGTGTATTACTTGCATTACTATTTACAACTTACAGACAAGAGTAAAGACATTTTTAAATCACTGACACCATTGACAAAAACAGTCATTTTACCTCACAGAACGTGGGGCTTGCCACATCGATATGTTAGTACGTTTGTGTGACTTTGGTCATCTTAACTAAAATCACACAAAACACAAACAGACTCATAAATATAGACACAACAGCTTCAGTGACTAATGGCTAAGTTGAGTGAATGAATATATTATACGACATAAACTTTAACTGAAATTGGCTGCTTTCAAATTTGCATACTTTTTCTTTTCCCTCACAAAATCTTGAGAAAAATGACATTCTCTTTACATCGCACTAGGAAATTTGACCCTGATTGTTGGTCAGAATAGCCAGAAAAGCATCTTGGCATGCATACTATACAATGTGACCTGTAGAATAGGACTTCCTGGTATTTCTCGCATACTGCATTTAATGAACTATGTATTAAATACTTAATATACTGTTAATAAGTTCCTTGTACAACTCCACTTAAACAATCTGAATTCATTCAAGGTTAGCCCTGTTTGAAACAGCTGCACGCAAGTAGATTTGTTCAATCCTGTTCAGCAGTTAGCATGCAGACAAACGTTTGTATTGCTTCAATTCACAAAACAACAGGATTAACCTTCATATTATTTATGTGTTCAGACTTTTAATTTCTCCATAATTCCATAGGGATATTCTTTCTCCCTGTCCCTATTCAAACACTGACTGCTTTCCTCTGCCTGAATTGGACACTAAAAGCATTAAGATATAAATATAAAAATAACTCCACAATATACATTAATTCTACAAGAGGTGACACTGTTGGCAGTATATCGGCAGACTAAATGTTTACACCCGCCATTTTTGAAAATCCCATTGCACCTGTGCATCTCAAAGGTCCATTATTTATGTATGAGACCTACTCAGTGAGTGTCCTGTTTTTACGTAGTCATATACTTCCTATTTTTACATCCTGAAATACCTTTTTAAGAGAAGTGATATACGTCAAGTATATTGAATGTGGGGAAATGTGAATCCGAGATGTCAACAGTTTGTAAAGCCCAATCAAAAATAGCATCAAAACAAAGTCTGTTCTCATCCACTCACTTTAGAGAGCTCCAATCATTATATAACATGATGACACAGATCAGATCACTATGGCTTATCTGGCGGGAAAGATGCCCACACAAGCAGATCCAGATCATACAATTTATTCAACAACCAGAGACTCAAACTCCCCTGAAATCACCCCTAGGTTGTGTTGGGATGAATTCTCTACATGGTGCAAAATAATGGAAGAATATAGAGATGCCATCATACTCAACCAGACATAAATCTTGATCCTCAAGATATATCCTACAAATATCCTATGTTTTTCTTGGTTTTTATTTCTCCCTCTCTCTGTTTTACTGTGATTGTTGTGTTGTATGTTGTATGGTTGTATTTGAAATGTGTATGCATGAGTATAAATGTGCAGGTGCATGTGTTCACAAAAATCATTGTCTTTTTTTACGTAAAATGATAGACACATTTCTATGATTTATTATTAATGTAAATACTGCTTTAGTTCAACTTTTCAAACTGTCTAAAGGGCTACATTTTTCTTTAGCATACTCATATTTATTCATATTATTTCAAATGTCCATAACTGTCTATAGCATATTCACATTTATTTTGTCTATAGTACTCTCTATTTTTTATATATAGTGTATTTAATATCTCTATTTCACTATTATTTCACTGTTTATAATGTGTATACCTACTTATAGTGATCATATTGTAAATACTTCTGTTTATATCTGCCAGGGGCATATATATATATATATATATGTATATTATACAATGAATAACACTGTAAGTTGCTTGTTTTGCATTTAGTACCTGTACTAAAGTTGAATCTAATCTAATCAAATTTAAACTTTCAGCATGAATGTTAAAATATATAAAATCTTTTTTTTTACATATAATTGTTCAGATAAAGATAGTTAGTAGAATATTGATCCCCATTGTTAAGTAAGCATAATGTGTTTAACAATAACATATTGAGCTGAGGTGCCCCTTTAAAATAGGTCCCTCCCTATCAGCCATGCGCATGCGCAGTCTTGTTATGAGTCACGTTAAAGCGTGGTCTCGTTCCCTGACATCAGCTACAGCGCGGTGAGTTTTTGTTCAGTGTTTTCATGTTGCTCCGACTCTCTTCGTCAGCCAGCTTCTCAGACTCAGGAGATTTAACACCGACAGAGTTTCCTGTGTCCCAAAGGTTCCTCACAGCGAGAGTTAGGAGAGTAAACACGGCCATAAAGCAGCACTGCTGCTGCAGGAAGTGTGCGACTCAGCTAAAACTTCTGTTAACAATACATTTGTCCTACTGCAGTCTTTTCACAAAACATGCAACTACAGTCAGGACAAACATACCGCAGCACTAGGCTCCATAACACATTATTCTGTCACTTTACCTCTGTAATCCTCAATATACTTGACTTTCACTAAAGTCTATACCTACCCTGCTTAGTGTATATATTTATCAATTCTCATAATGCTCATTTACTATATTTCAGTTAAAATCTCATAATTCAAAGATTCAAGATACAAATGATTTAGTTTATATATGCACGGCAATCACCATGCACTGCAAGTCATACACATAAATAAAATAGTGAATACTTACTGTTAATGTTGTGTTAGATAGAGGTACTCTAGATATATATCTTTCACAGTTGATATCATATGTATATACTCTTTATGTTTGTTTTTAATTCACATGCAATGCCTTTTTGAAATGCTGCTGTGAAAAAACAAGTTCCCAAATAGCGATCAATAAAGTACATCTAATATAATGTCATTTTCATTTACTTCACGCCATTGAGTTTATTCATTGACAAACTATCTTCCACGAATTTACTATACTTCATTATATATTTTATTTCAACCCAATATTTTATGTCTTAAATGTTCATTACGCTTTTTCTGATATTCTTTCCACAAAAACAATTATGAGCATTGTCGGATCTTAGATCATGGCTAATCACTGCTTCAGTGTAATTTGTGTGCGATGATAAGAAAGATCTTAGGATGTTTGCATTAATGTAGCTGTAAAGATTATCATTAATATCCTCACTTCATTCATTCTGCTTCAGATTTAGGGAACACGTTTATAATACTGACTGCAGGAATCTATTGGTACTTTAAAACATACAGATATAACGCAGTTCCCTTTGTCGCCAGAATTTCACATCTAAATAATGTTAACGTTGTATTATATTATGTTGCTTTTGCTATAAGGATAAAGACCCATACATAATTGGCAAACTACGTAAAACACAAGTTACATCTTTGGATGGACAAAGTGTTTCGGCTCACTATTCGTGGTAAACAAATCTAATGCTAAGCTAGTTTCTTTTTTGCTTTAAGCTTGTTTTTACAGCTGCTCAGCTGAGGCCACAAATATACATACAGCGTTTCTGAAATTACAAATGAATTCCTTATTAAGTCATGATTAATAATCACTTAATGTATACGTTTTATTGCTAAAACAGTAACATGAGGCTGTTCTTCTTAATTTGTATACAAACAGCAGCTTAACGAACCTAGCAGATGATTTTAATATACACAAGCGGTGCTTAACAAAATGATTCATGAGGAATATTTGATGAATGTGCTTTCATTAGCTATATATATATACTATATATTGCCATTCATCACTGCAGACTAATCAAGAAATTAAACAAGAAATACATTCTCCTGCCCAGTGTTGTCATCTAAATCATGTGCAACTATGGGTTCATTTGATTCTGACTGTAAATTATTTGTATGTCGTGAATCAGAAATGGCTCGATAATGACTTGAATTGTTGAAAATATATTTTGGGATACTGTAATGGTCGAGTAAAAAGTCTAAACATCACATACTGACCTGAATCCTGACTCCTGTTGGTCAACAAACACAAAGTTGTTTTCTGTTGATACCACGCTTTTCTTAAGTTCTCCAAAAACCTGAATGAAATAAGAGATGCAAGGATTAGCAGACTTATCCATTAGGTGATTGGCAAAAAGAAACCACCAACTATTTTGATAATCGATTCATCGTTATAGTAATTTTGTTGAAACATACTGTTTTCAGCTTCTCAAATATGAACATGTCTGGCTTTACTCTGGTTCATGTCACATTAAACTGGAGATATTAGTTTGTTGTACTGAACAACCCCTGCTGTGGGATGAATAAAGCATTTCTGATTTTGATGTCTAATAGACGACATGTTTTGTAAATAAAATAACGCGCAAGTTAAATGATAATGAAAATGATTGTTAGATGCAAGCCTAGAATAAAGTGTTTCTTCATGGGATTTTTAGAATACAAAAACATTTTAGAAACATAGTGGTTTATCTGAAGAATACAGCAACAACATATTTTATCTCTTGAACCCTCATTTATTTTTAACATGATAATGTTGTTGAATAATTCAGTGTGGGGCATATAATGTTATTTTTAAGTCTTATGAGAGCAGACTGTGTGTCGTGTTACTGATGTTGAATCTCATGTTATTCTGGGTGAAGCTGTGGCCTGGTGAGGTAATCACCAGTACTTACAGTCCGCCCTGTTGCCCGAGGGCATCACATCGTAATGAGGCAACATGAGTAATTCAACAGCACTCATGCATGTAGAGAACAATGAAGGGTTGCAGCGCTGCACTGCATTATAATTCACGTGAAAGGTTCTGATTTCTGTGACCGAAGATTGACTCTACCTGTAAGCAGGTCATAGGCACACTGACTGGTGCCACGTGAGTCATCCAAACTGATTCAATCATATGGGTACAAAACCCACTATATTAGCTATGTAGGAATCATGAGAACAACTTATTAAACAAATAACCAAACTGAGGACAATAACTGTTCTGGGACCTCTGCTGACAGCCATATTGTGAGTTTGTGGAGAGGATAAACAAAGATTGGTTGTAGTATTTCAAAGCCTTATTTCTTGTCTCCTTCAAAAGGTGTGCAGGATGAGCTCTGGCAATGGGGCGAGGAGGAAAGTCGGGAAGCAGCATTTCAACAACACGGTGGCGTTTGACCCTGAAACCCTGGCTGAGGTTCAGGGTCTTTTCAGTAAAGTAAGAAGCTATGTGAAACCTGCCAGTGGGGAGTGGGGCCTCCCCGACCCAAACGTGGCTCTAAGACAACCTGCGGAGCAGCACTGCCGCCTGCAGGCCCTGAAGGCATCGCTGAACGACGTGAAGAACCAGCTCAGTGACAAGAACGTCCAGGTATGGCATCAGCACACCAACTCCACCAACCGAGCGGGGACGGTGATCTCCGCCGTGCGCTCTGCGGCCAACGCAGAGATCTGCACTCAGGCCTGGTGCAAGTTCTCCGAGATCCTGGGGAGCTTTAGACTTCTCCCAGAGGAGGCCCTTCAGAACGGAGAGCTGAACACGGTCCATCTGTGTGAAGCTCCAGGGGCTTTCATAACCTCTCTGAACCACTACACCAAAACCAGCGAGTCCACGCGTTACTGTGACTGGAGCTGGGCCGCCAACACTCTCAACCCGTACCACGAGGCCAACGGCGGCAGCACCACCATCGCGGATGATCGGCTGATTGCCAACACTCTGCCCTGGTGGTTCTTCGGCTCTGACAACACGGGCAACATCATGATCCAGAAACATTTGCTGGAGCTGCAGGCGTTTGTGGCTAACATGCGTACAGTGGACGTGGTGACGGCAGATGGAAGCTTCGACTGTCAGGAGAAGCCTGATGAGCAGGAGGCGCTGGTGGCGTCGCTGCACTACTGCGAGGTCACAGCTGCACTGCTGCTGCTGAGCCCCGGGGGCTCCTTCGTGCTCAAGATGTTCACTCTGTATGAGCACTCCTCCGTCTGCCTCCTCTACCTGCTGAACTGCTGTTTCCGCTCCGTCAACGTCTTCAAACCTGCCACCAGCAAGTCGGGAAACTCTGAGGTTTATGTGGTGTGTCTGGACTATGAGGGCAAGGAAGCCGTGAGGCCTCTGCTCTCCAAACTGATCCGTAACTACGGCCCACAGCTGGCGGACCGAGAGGCACTTTTCCCAAACTCGCACCTCCCAGAGTCGTTTTTGAAGCAGCATGAAGAAGTGTGCTCGTACTTCACCAGGCTGCAGGTGGAGACGATCACAGAAAACCTGCGACTGTTTGGAGCAATGAGCAGCGAGCAGAGGCAGCGGCTCGACTTCATCAGAGACGGAACCGCTCAGGAGTATCTGCTGCGCTTCCAGGTAGGATGTGTGTCTATGGGCACTTTGTAATGTAACTGAAGTTCAATCCCGTTATGTTATCAGCAGAGGGATTTTTCCAAGTTGTCCATGAAGTGTATAAGTTAACTTTTTGTCCACCTCCTAAAATTGAAATGTAAGATCTTCTTTGGTCAAATTGAATCCTACTCTTCCCAATGAGAAATATGGCCAGGACAACTTCATGAATGTGAAATAAGGCAGAGCAATTATTCTGCATTTTATCTGAATCACAATTTTTATATCCAAATCTTTAAAAAGATGTTCAGGCCTAAAACAATATACACTTCACTCTTTGAGTGTCCCCAGATCCCTGCACAAATTATAATACATGGCCCCTTTTTTTTTTTTTACCATCATCTGAATAATGATGCTAATCTTGACTTCTATTACAGTCAAAATAATGATATGTTCTGTTTCACGCAGTAATAGTTAGTGATTGGGCAGCGGCTTCCAAAGCATTAGAAGCTTTATAAAAGTCTGAAACTTGATGAACTGAGTCTCTCTCTGTGTGTAGGTGAGCTACCTCCAGCGGAGTCGATGGGTCTCTCGAAACACGGTGAGTCCCGCGTGCTGCAACGTCTCAGCGGGACGGCCTCTGGGACAGAAGAAGCAAACAGGCTCCTTCAACGAGCGCAGGGAGTTGCAGACCTTGAGCTGGAGGGAACGCATCGAGAGGGGTTGCCATGCCGCCTCGATACAGAAACACTGCGCCCAGACCAGAGGGACCGGCAGCGTACTGCAAGGACCCCGGTCCGAGTGTCACGTGGACTCATGGTACGTTATTGCAGGGGCTGCTCTGCCTGCAGTGAGAAACTCTGCGTTCTGTGAAGGAGGGCTGCTGAACCACCTGAACGACGCTCTGACGGACACAGCAGCGGACTGGACTCCTCGCTGTCACTCTTGCCATGGCGCTTGCTGGGCCTCCATCATGTCCGACGTTGCAGGCCTTTGCGTCTCAAAAGCAGGGGACAATAAGCAGAGACAGTGCCTGGTGTTTGGCAGCCAATCAGCGTGGGGGGCTGGTGAAAGCCAACATGGGGATTTAGTTTTAACATTTTCTGCAGAGCCCTCAGCTCCTCACAGAGATCTGGTGGCGCTGCACGACGGGGAGCCGCGGTACCAGCAGCAGCTCTTAGCGTGTGTGGTGTGTTCCCTGCAGACCCTCACCTCGGGGGACGCCCTGCTGCTGCCCGTGTTCTCTGCCCTCACCCGAGTCACCGCAGCTGTCGTGCTCTGCCTGCATGCGTGTTTTAGCTCTGTCTCGTTCAGGTGTCCTTCACCTTCGGGGATTACTGGGGCAGTTCTTGTATGTGTTGGCTTCTGCCCTGAAGCTGCTGCACGGATACTTCCTGTTCTCAGCGACGTCCACAGCTGCATGGGTCAGGGGTTGAGAGAAGAGGAGGGTGACAATGTGCCGTCTGGGTGTGACAGTCAGGTGCTGCAGTTTGTTCCCATGGAAGAGATGCTCACAGGAGGACTGACTGACTTCTTGCGGACCATGAACTCTGAAATCATCCAACAGAAGCTGCATCTGCTCATGCAATCATAGTGCAGTTTAGTGAGCTGTGACGCCCTTCATCGCTTCACAAGCTGTCTCATTATGTCTGTGTTATTCTCGTTGAATCAGAACACTGTTCAGCTACATGTCCCTCCAGCAGTTAATCACTGAATCACTTCTGTATGCCAATATAAAAAGACTACAACACTGATTAGGCTTTGCACTGCGAACACATTTCAGGCTCAAAATGAACACATTTACAGAGAGGACCAAATCAATGCAGCAAAACCAGAGATATTATCTTTTTTTCTCCATTTATTCTTCCTGAATTATTTGTTAGTATATATTCCTACTTTCACAATTCAGGAATAATACGTTATTTCATAATGCCTTTTGTACTTTGTATTTAATTTGTATATTAAGGGTTTACATTTCTGAAAATATGTAATCATTTGTAATAGTGACACTTGAAGTACATATGTGCTGATATCATTGATATGATTCAATCATCTTATATTTATCCACCACACGTATCAGTTGGGCTTTAATGCAAAAGTCCAAACCGTGAAGTTAAATAAGGTAAACCTTCACTTCGCCACAAATTCTCTCAAATCTTTTATTATCTCAGTTTCAACTAAATCCAAGTCTGCTAAAGCCTTTACTCATCCTGCAGGCGAGAACAACATTGTCTCATGATACAAATTTGCAGTGCATGAAAATTCAAATTACTTTCAGCACTTGATCAGCAGAACTCATCCGTGACTGAATCCTTGAGGGGATTTGAGGGAGGAGTGAGCAAACAACAGTCCAACCCGCAGCAGCAAGCCTCCTGTCAGTCACAGATGGTTTGCGCTGAAATCCACCTCACAGAGAGCCGCCATGCAGTTTTACCCCAACGAGCCCGTTGTGTTTTACAAAACATTGTTTTATCCCAGGATGTTCGAGATCGTTTTCTGTTTTTGCCATCATGCAACACACAGGGGACTTCCTGTTAAACAAATAATGTCTATCTTTTATTTCCAGTGAGAAAAAACATAATTCCACATATGAAATATGATAGTCACTGAAATGTTTTATCCTGCATGAGCAACTCACTAAGGGGCTTTTAAGAAAATAAACAATATCAGAATATTCGCTTCACTACATGCACATGTTTACATTTTTAGGGTTCTGGTTTATAATATAACAACGTTGTTACTGAGGAGTTTATTTTCCAACTAAAACAATAAAAATGTGCACTGACAAATGACATGAAGTAGGTGTTTGTTCACTGATACTGCTCAAGTGTCTTCTGATCAGAAACAAAACTGTTGTTTCTCTCCGTCCTGTCAGACTGTGATAATGTTTATTACACACTAGAAGAGATGAAAACTGGAGTGACAGCTCTGCTATTCTTAGATCCTGTGCAGATGCACTTAGACTTTTATCGATCGGACCCTACAGTATATTCAAGTCATTCCTGGATTCTGGGCACTGGATGTGAGCACTGAGAGGCACCAGGGGATGATTTATCTTCTACGATCATCTCAGGACTTTCCAGACACAGTTTGTCAGGCTCGGCCCTGTGATGTCAGATATAACTCAGCTTTTAGGTTGAGGGTTAGTTTGAACTATGTCCACCTCCGGCTGCTTATACAGAAACCTGCTGCTACCATATTAATGCTTTAGTATTCGATATGAAATTGTCCTATATAATAATATAACAGTCAGAGGGCCAACACTAAAATGTTTACTTTAATCGTTTAACTACGGTTTGCTGCACAGTTAGTTTAGCTGGTAATTGAGTATTTTTATATTGATGTATTTGGTACTTTAACTTAAGTAGTGTATCTGAATACTTCTTACTTTGCTGCTAACTAGTGTCAGTCAGTGCTTCAATAAATATGTATTTACTACAATTCATCTGTAGTACAAAGCCAGACCCCTTGAACAGAATATTTACATGATCAGAGGTGCGGGAAAATAAATATGCATATTAATATCAACTCATCATATGAATGATCGTCTTGCTGATTTAAACATTAGACTGTTTTTGAAGACTTTATGTGCACTTGTAAGCATGTGCACATGTGAGAATACAGAGACATCATTAGATGCATCCAATCTATTTTTTAGGGATCTAACATCAAAGGTTTGAACAGATTTAATATGAGTGTGGAGCCTACATGGTGGGACTGCAGATATAAAGCACAGGAACAGCCTGCAGACTGGAAATATGCTAGTACTGAATGTATGTTGGTCATCATTCAGTTTCACTCTGAATTCAGTCTCTAATGAAGGGCTGCCAAGGATTATGTCAAATGAAGTAGAGTTATTAAATTATGTGAATGTGTTAATGTGAGATAACTGTTGTAACTGTCTTACAGTCATAATTCAGCTCCTTTACTTAAAACAGGCGGATATGTGTGGTAGATTTTTAATTAGCACCGTGTCTGCAGACAGATCTGTGCATTTCCATTAAACTGGGATTCCTCAGCGCTCCATGGATAAAGAGAAAAAGCAGAATCTCCTGCAGCATGCCTTCACCTCCAGCACCTGCTAATGTAGAACTGACAGGATGTTGGATGTTAAGACGTTAAGTGATCCGGCCCAGTAGCGTCTCCAAGGGGGGGCTGGGGGGGTGGCACCCATCTTCTGGCCCCTCTTCACCTCTATTTGTGGCAATTTTAAACATAAAAGGCTTGTTCCCTTCAAATAAATGTCTTCCTTAAAATCAATGCACTTATTAATTAATCACCTAACGCATGTAGCCCATTCAAAGACGCATACATACAACATTAAAACAGGATTGTTGTGTCATTCAAAATAACTTACAGGTATTAATGCACAACAGATATTTAGCTGTTTAACTGAACTAAGGAACCAAAGTGTGCAGTTCCTTAAAGCCCCTGTCACACTGTCCCGAAATTGACACCCGATGGACACACGATTAAGGAAATGTTCAAATTCGGCTCTGATCGTAACAACATCGGGCCATCGTTTCAGAGTGGCCTTTTATTGTGGCCAGCCTAAGGCACACCTGTGCAATAATCATGCTGTCTAATCAGCATCTTGATATGCCACACCTGTGAGGTGGGATGGATTATCTCGGCAAAGGAGAAGTGCTCACTATCACAGATTTTTTCAGATTTGTGAACAATATTTGAGAGAAATTGTTATTTTGTGTATATAGAAAATGTTTTATATCTTTGAGTTCATCTCATGAAAAATGGGAGCAAAAACAAAAGTGTTGCATTTATATTTTTGTTCAGTGTAATTGCAGCTTAGTCTCCAGTACAATTTTTTTACTTTTTTTGTCTGCGTTTTAATTTTAGACACATCTTCGAGGCTGCAAGTTTAACAATGTACACCCTTACTAGACTGTTTTCACAAGAAACACGGATCCTGACTTGGCAGAGAAACTAAGGGAATGGCCAGGCAGCTGAATGTTTGTCCAACAGGGTGAGCTGCGATGGCGCTGCTGACTTGAGGCAGTTGTGGAGAGACTTCACAGCTCAGTTAAGTTTAGCAGTTGGTCAGTGAGCAAAGGTTTCCGGCAGAAGCAGAGAGAGAAAGAAAGCTCATATAATAGTGGCCTATTGGGCTGTTTGTGTAAAAACAAAATCTGTTGCCTTCATCAAATTGACAGAGTGTGAGAGTGTTGCAGAGCAGATGTAAAATACAAAGATACCTAACAAGTACTGAGGCATAGTGAGGTAGATATGAATACATAGAAACTTACAGCCATGAACTCAGAGCTGGATCCCACAAACTCTCTGAAACAGAGCAGGAAGTTTTCCTCTGTGGGCAGAAGCTGAGCCAACTACAGAGTAAATAAAGAAACAAAATGATAATTATTTCAGTATTTTACATTTATGATTTAGATTTGTAAAGACAGGAGACATTTTCAAATGTAGACTTTACTAAAAAAAAGAAACCGTTTTTGAAATGTTTTATTCAATTCAATGGATCAACAGTGAAGATACAGAGACATGAAACAGAAGTTGGAGTCAAACCAGCGACGTAGTGCACATACAGTTTGAGTCTCTACCATTCCACCTCTAGGACAACATAAGAAGCTAATTACTGATGTTTCTCACCTCTGACATCTCAATTCTCCCATCCTCGTTCTGGTCAAATTTAGCCATGAACTCCTTCATCTTTTCTTTGAACCCAGCATTTGTAGGATCCTGCAACCACATAAAACCATAGATCAGAGGGACTTGCAATCTATATTTATTTAAACATTTAAAAAAGACACTACCCAAACTAACCCTGTGCCCAAGAAATAGACTTACATAAGGAATGTTTTTTAATTTCCCTCAGGTAACAATTCCCGTCATCATAATGAAGAATTGTTGTGAATCAAAGTCTATGAATCTTAAATACACACAGTATTCAATGTGTTTTGTAAAATCAAATAAGAAAATGGTCTTATATGTGCATTTGTGCCTGCTACACGAGTCCCTAAATATAGCTCTGTAGGTTCAGAAACATCACACTCACCACGCCGGCTCCTCGCCTCGCAGTCTCCAGCTCTTTGAAGAAGTTCTCCAGCTCCTTGCCTTCGATGAAGCCGTTTCCTGCAGAGCATCAGAGGAACTCAATTAGTTTGGCATAAACGATGCTATAAAGCTTTTAAGTCGCCTGAAGCTTTGTTGACTGTTCAAAAGTTTGATTAAAGACTTTGGAAGGGGATGAAAGATTAAAAGTCAATGGGGGTCATTTTGAAACAGTCACCAAACCTCCAGTGCTTGTCCCGTTTCAAGTTGGATCCAAATAAGCAGCAAACTGATTAAACTCTATTTTCTTAGAGTATTTTGGTTGGTTTAGTCAATCTGATTGTCGATATTCATTTCTGGAGTGAAGCACAAGCTTTACAAACCTGGGAAATAAGATTATCACTTGTTATATCATCTCTACACAATTTCAAACTTGTAATAGGAAACTCACTTTAATGAACTGAAAGCATGCCACACAAAAACAAGCTTTGGTCTAGAGAATATTCTCTTGTCACTCTCATATACTTAGCGCCAAATTGGCATTTCTTGAGAGGAGACTCAGTGATGTGCTGCTGCAGGGAAGAAAACAACCCACAAGAGTCCGTTATAGCTGCAGTCTAAGCAGTCTAATGAGTTTTCCTGCCTAAGAGGGTGAAGTGTCCAGTCAGATTGATGCTTATTGGGGCATTCTGTCCCTCTGTTTGGATTCGTGCGTCTTAATGATTTTAATACAGTAATTTACTCCATTGGTTTCCCTGTGAGTCAGAGGCTAACATTCAGCGCTCTCTTTTTAATCAGAAGAATGAGACCCATCTGTCTACAATACCAGAAGGGTATTCTTACAAAAAGAAACGTTTATAAAATTGTTATTTCAATTTTGAAAAAAAACACAGATCTACAGAATAAAATGCAGAGATTCTCCCTGCCCCCTCTTCATCTCTTAATCTCTGATCCTCTCATCTGCTCTTCTTTCGGATTCTCCCTCACCTCCCTCCCCCCGTCCTCTCGTCTGCGTGCCCTGATTCATTTGCAAACGGTATCTGATAGGTGCTCCATGTCACCATCTGTGCTTCAGTTGAGCTGCTGATTTGGATATAAACAAATCACTATAGGGACACATAGCTTGGGGTCTGGAGAGAAAGCAAGCCAACGTGACATAAGTTAAACTCAGTTTATCTGATGCTATTGCAGCATCTATGCTTACCTCTTTGGGAGACACCGTTGTTATTTTAGAGAACAGTGGTCGCATAAACCATGTCTCTAACTGCATTTAGCTTTTCACAGGACACAACCTGACACAGCTGCATTACTGACAAGATATTATTATATTCAGCTGCGTTGACATTCAAACTTGACCATTGGAATTATAACTAGTTAACATCACGTCATTCAAAGTTTGTATTTAAAGAGTCCATAAAGGTTTCCCTTAAATACTGTGTTCATGAGAATTGAAGGCAGAAAACAAAACATATGAACTTTCTTCATTGTAAATGTTATATTGATCAACATGCTAACATGGATTTTAAGCAGCGACAGTACCATCTAAATTCAGCATGTTGGCTGATCAGTATAAACAGAAAATGACAGCCGAGGCTCATGTCATTGTCATTAGTTCTGCAGATATTTCGGCATAAGACAGAGAATTGGACACATTTGAATTGTAACCTGTTTGTGGCGCTAGAATAAAAGTCAGAGGATCACCAAAATATTTACAATGCATACTGACATGATGATAAATCATTGCAATCCATCCAGTGACAGAAGATATATTCCACTCAGAACCCCACATTTGAACCTCAAGGTGGCGCTAGGTAAAAGTCTGCATCAACAAAGTCCGTGGTGTTTACATCTTTTGATAATGACAACAAAGTGTATTGCCAGTCCAGAAGTTGTTGATACATTTCAGTCTGGATCAAAGTAGTAGAACAACTGACAGACATTGCCATCTGATAGAAGTATTGAATCTTCACTATTTATCTTACTTTTATAAAATACATTTAGAAATGTGTCCACACACTTCCATAGGAATAATGTTAATCTACCTTGTGATTAGTGACTCAGCCACACTCAGCGTTACCCAAAGTAGTAATTATTTCACTGAGTGCTGAATACATAATGCTCGCTGGCCCCTTACAGCTGTGGGGCTGCAGAGCGTGGTTTATTCAAATCACGTGTGACAAAAAACATCAAGTGGACAAAGCGCATGCAAAAAGATACATACCTTATCGTGCATGACAAGGTCAACAGAGATATCCTAGATTTTCTAACCTGACTACATTTTAATTGAATACATTAAAGGTAGAATCGTTAAATACAGGACAGTGTCTCATAAAGTATGAGAGGGATAAATCATGTGACTTGTCATAAAAGCATACATGAGTAAATGTGTTCAGTTCATTGGGGCTCACTGCCAGGCTTTAGCTCTACAAATCGCAGCTGCCACATGGAGGGCACCACTGCACACTGCTCACTGAGCAGATGCAGCCTTTTACTTCCCAAAAAACATTTTCAAACACTAATCTGCTGCTAAAGGCTCAATAGCACCTCCAAAACAATCCAGTTGCTTAACTCATCATGATTGAAATCAACAAAGAGGATCACGCAACAACACCTTTTATCTCGCTAAAAGTATGGATAAAAATCACTTCACAAATCCTTGTTACTGGCTAATGTCCTCAGTTGTTTATTTGATTGTTGTCCTCGTTTTCCCTGCAGCCAGTAGGAGCTGTGCTCGATTCGGTCACTGCTGTGCTGCAGATGTTGTCAAGCTAAAACAACTCACAGCATGATGCTCTTCAGTCTTCACCAACATGTCCCCAGAAACAGATTGTTCTACAGCGAATAAAATGAGATTTTGTGTGGACTTGGAGTACGACCCTTCCTGCTCAGGCTGGTGATTGTTAAGAATTAAAATGGTTTAGTTAAGTGATACTGATATCAATAGAGTTCATTTGACCTTCCACTCACACGATACCATCATGGGAGTGGAAGCATTCAGTTGTGTAAAATGACACCACCACTCCTCTGAAATATTTGTACTACTTAACATTTTGAGAGGCTTTCAAATTATGTAAATTGTTTTAAATACCTGTACAAAACTATACATTGAAGTAAAATTGCCAACTCCATGAAATACAGTGTTCACGACACCTCCAATCACACATTGCATTAAAGTGCAGAACGGCAAATGAAACTTTTTTAAGGGTTATTTGGTCGATAGACATTTCAGCCCTTTCTCTTGTTATGTGATACAAACCGCCATTCCCATATTTCAATATTAGCAGGAAAAGGCAATGATTTGAAACATGTTGTCAAACAAAGGTTTTTTTTATCCTCTTCATACCAGAGGGAACATAGTAAGCTATATTTTTCTTCCCTCTTGTCACCATGAGTCCAATGCAGCGGAGCAGTTAACCCTGAACTTCTCCAGTGGAGCAGCTTGAAGATGATGGCTTAAAGAATTGGCAGTTGCAAAAGTCAGCGAATCTCTTGATTAACTAGGGTTAGGGTTAACACCAACGATCTGCTTTTTCTTCTCCTATTTGAACAGTCAATATGTCTTCAAGTCTGATGACAATCATCTTTCGTGATCTACGCAATATATTTCTCAGGTTACATTTTACCCAGCAGATGCCTGGGACAAGACTTTATCATGCTACGACAGTGATTGGCTACGGTCCACCAACGGTGTTGCCTAAAAATAAATTAACAAAACTAACAACAAAATAGGTAATCTCCTTCCAAAATGGCCTATATAACTATTTTCTGATCTGGCGCCCCCTATCGGTAACATGATTAGTTTTTTCAATGCCTTTCAAAACCAAGGCAACTGGCAACACTTGTCTCCACTATTGTCAGGGTTAAGGTGTATATGCAACAAAAAAACAACAACATTCATTTTATGAATCAGGATGCTTTGTGAAATTAATGTGAATAAAAAAATGTTTTGTGAAAATATTAGGATAGGGTTTAAAAGGGTTTAACAATGAGGTCAATGGTCAGATAAGATATAATCCTTCAATATGAAACATGAAAATCACTTAAGTTGGAGTGGCTCTTATTGAAACAGAGACAAAGCTCTTCTGCAGTTTGGCTAAAGGGAAATTTGCCAATAATGACATGAGACCCGAGAAAATGTCGGCAATCATTTGTTTAAGATGTGTACTTAACTACTGAACTTAAGCACAATTTTGAAATGCTTTTCCTTTTACTGAGCATTTCCATTTTTACCCCACTATATTGTAAACTAAATTAAATTGACTGCTAAAGGCATATCAAGGGGATTATTGCTTGACATACGATCAGTTTATAAAATGTGATGCATAATGTAGCTATCAGGTCTGCAACAGATCATTTTGTCAATATTTATACATACTCCGGTGAATTCCTTTCAATTAATCAATTAATATTTTGTTCCATTTTCATTTAACTAAAAAAGAGGAAAAAAGTCTTCTCTAAAACCGGGATACATTTTATGAATTATTTGATCAACAACTGATTAATCAACCTTTAAATTTCAGCTGTTGTTGTTGACATGGACATCATACAAATGGTTAAACTCTATCTCTACCAACATTAAGTATTAGTGTAATTGTAAATGATCTGAATGCCGCCCCCCCCACACACACACACAGTTCATCCCCATTAAACTCTCAGATTCAGAAGCTCCTCCCATCAAAAACCCCCTTCATCCTCTCATCTCTCCCACCTCTTCACTCTCTCACTCTATCCTCCCTTCTTCTGCATTATTTTATCCCTCCCCCATCTCTCCTTCACCCTCTCACTCTCCTTCTCTTTCAGCTCCCTCCCCCTCTCCCCCTCCTCCCTCCTCCACTCAATAACTTAACTCTGTCTTATTTCATATCTAATCAGAGTCTTAAAACAACGATAGAAGCCCATTTCAAATCACAGAAAATAAAACAATTCACATCATAAATCACATATATACAATCCTTTAAACTTGTAAATACCATTTCCAATTAGGCGCACCAAGTATTTTCTAAATCGTTCATTTCCAGAAGAAACTGAAATAAAATGACTCTGTATTCATTTGTAATAGGCAGTGATGCTATTACTATTATATTTTAAAAGAAGATAAAATAACACAGCATAAGAAATAAACTCATAAAAGCAACACCTTCGAATATTTTTATTAAAAAGTCAGTTCAAATAAAACTCCGTCTTCATATTTAGCATCTGATTGATCTCTTCAATTGAATTGAATCTTTTTGTCCATTTAATTTAACAAAAAAAGGGGGGAAAAGGTCGATACAATTTATTCTTACGGATTTAAACCCGAGAGATATTTTAAACATTAGTTGATCAACAACTGATTAATCAACCAATAATTTCATTACAATTGTTAAATCTCCATTTCTACCAACCACAACTAATTGTTACGGATCTGAATGCCCATTACAAATAACACTCCCCCTCCACAGTTATATATTTAGCGTCTATTAAATACTGATTGATCTCTCAATTACTGCCACATTCATCAGACTTGAGACGCGCACTGACCGTCTGCGTCAAAGTGTTTCCAGATGTCGATAAACTGCGCGGCTGTGATCTCCGCCAGGTGCAGGTGGGGGGGCTGCTGGGCTTGAGTTGCCATCACTGCTGTTTCTCCGTGCTTGTAGTCGAGAGTGATAGTTGGAAGTAAACTTTTCCCCGGTAGAGCTCCTCGGTACTGTGGGCAGCTCCTCCTCAGCTGAGGCTTTTAAACCCCCCGCGGTGCGTGCGCTCCTGCTGCCCGCCACAAGGGGGCGTGTGCACTGTGCAGAGAGACCAATTATAGGAGGAGGAAGAGGAGGAAGACCAGGACAGGCTCTCCTGGGCTTTGCATTTTTGTTACCATTAACTGCTGTCCATGCAGCTGGTTTGATAGCAGGATCATTATACATCATCCAGTCCTGCTGCCCCCAGAGGAGACAATCACATCAAACAATTTAAATCCTACAGCGGCGCCCTGCTGGCTCCAGTTGATCTTGTCGGATCTGTATCATCCCTGTCTCTTCCAAGCTCTCTGCACTGTCAATTATCACATAAAGCCTGCATAGATCAAGCGTCCCATCCCAGGGGGCACTTCACCTCTGGAGAGATCACAACTATGTGCATCATGCTCCAGTGAGGGCCACATTTTCTTCTTCCTTCACTCTCTGCTGAGTTTTGATTTCACCTATCAGATGTCACAGATGAGACCCTCCCTCCTTTCTTAGCTTTTACTCTCATCTCCTCCCTCCCTCAACCTTTCACACCCCCTTCATCACTCCTCCTGGACTGCGTAGGTTGGAGGGCCACTCAGCATCCTCGGCTAATCGAACTCATACTTGGTGTGGCTACTAAATCACCAACACGCCTTTTGTTCTTTCTAGAGGATGAGCCTATCTTTTAAAACCCCATCTTCTCCTTCTACTTTGGTGCATCTCCTTTCTCAGGGTTTGTTCCCCACAAGCTGGTGTGAAGGATGGGTGCTGTGGTGGGGGAGGGGATCACATGTAGAGGATGCAGAAGAAGAAGATACTTTATCTCTTCTCTGCAGAGCTGCTGATCAGAGAGAAATAGGAGGAACTAAACAGAGGGGGAGAAAGCAGATAACTGTGTGTGTGTGTGTTTGTAGGATAAGTGCACACATGTACAACTATGTGTGTTTGGGAAAAAGAGAGGAAGGAAGGGAGGTGAAGAAGAGTGTGGGAATCTATTTATAGGGATTTCCATCGTAAAGCCTTAACTGTATGAATTATAATTAGATCATTTATAGGTCTGTTTGTAGAGCTCTAAGCGCTCTCTGCTTAAAGTGTCGGTGGTGAAGTGATGGGATGAGTAATGGATAGGTGTGGGTTGAGAGAATGACAATGATGGAGGGACAAAGATGTTAATGGACCTCCGATCAACTTTCAATTGGAAAAGTGTCATGTGGACATGCACACTCATCTACTTACGTATGGCAAATACACTTTACTGTATGCACACATACACAATATGAAATAAATGCAAATTGATGTAGATCTGGCTTTGCTTGCATGCATTCCATGAATAGCAGATTATGGATAATTATGCAATCCTGTTAATGCTGTATTAAATATCTAATGTGCAAAAATGGGCTTAATGTGGATAATTATCATCGAAAGTGAAAGCAGGATGAGGAAAAATATACAGACAGCAGGTGTTTAAGAGGCTTTTAGTTCACATTGATTTAATTTTCTGAAATGCAACAACAATGTAGCGTCTTTGGAGTTATGCAGAATTATGCAGGATCAAGCGCACAAATCCTGCTTTCGTTGATGCATAGAAAACCATGATTATTATAAAAAGAATATAAATATAACCTATACGTTCAACGTGCAGACTGTGTTTAATTGAAATAAATTCTCATTTGAATAAAGACAGCATCTTAGTTACTGCAGGTTGAAACTGAGGGCTAATGGTTTACGTTATGGATGATTATTACCTCCAGTGTGTGCTGCGGTTTCACCACATCTGTCCTGCTTGAATCAATGAAAGCCATTTGTCCAACACCTCTCTCTCATTGTGTAACTGTAAGCAAAACGTTATTTAAACAAATAGATTTTCCCTGTGTGATGTTTAAGGTTATAGTTAGATATCCATGGTACCCATTTGTAATGACACAAAAAGATGTCTTTTCAGTGTGTCTAAAAAGTAAGACTGTTTTGTCACAAAGTCTCCGAGGACGAGCTTCCCATTTCCTCTTCCTACAGACACTGACCTTAATCCTAAGTAACCTTTTTGAAAAACTCAACACCAATTGTAACCTTTTGAGAAGTAACAGTAAGGCAAAACATTGCCAAAGGTTTGGTTTCATTTAGTTTGTTCCTTTGTGAGGTTCATTGGTTTAGACATTTGAAAAATGTAGAGGCCAAAACATTTCATTAAACATTAGTGTCTTATAAATAATACAGATGCAGCTGAACAACTGCCTCCCTCGCAAGCACTGATGAAACTAAACTTCACAAAGTGAGAAATCTTATCTCATTACACGATCTTTCAAACTACCATTGTTGGTGTGTGTGTGTGTGTGTGTGTGTGTGTGTGTGTGTGTGTGTGTGTGCACAAGTTACCTCTAGCATTCCGTCATGGTTGAATCTCACAATGCTTTTTCCTGATATCTGATCAGAAGCAGCATGCAATGCAAAGAGATGACCCACCTAGCAAATTAAATACACCTGACACGGTACGGATAGAGCAAATGTGAAATAAAAACATTTAATTTTCTAAAGAGTATTCCTTGTTGCCTCCTAATAATAATTTCTCCTTCTCAAAATATGGACTCTGTAAGCTTTATGGCACCTTCACATTTGAAGGGACCATTTACCATTACAATATGTTTATTAAATCAGATGACTTCATGTACATCCCAGCAAACTCTTACCTTATTTAATTATAAAATATCCTGTTAATTTAGGATGATGCAGGGCTGTTGGAGCTGGGACTAATGGGAGCCATCACCATGATGGTGTATTCCTATAAACAAACTGTGCTTCAGTATTAATATAACCATATTATTAAGAAACCACAAACACTGCGTATTTCCCAAAACATAAATATGCAAAAAATACATACACAAAATGCATGAGATCACATTTTGAATTATGTAAGCCAAACATGTTTTCTGTCTATTCTGACCTACAATCCTTTGACACACATTTTGCAGTAGTGTTTCCCAATTGTATGCATACTGCATTCAGACATACTGATTTCCTAGATCCACCCTTTTGTCCTCTTGTGCTACTGCTGGTTGCAAACTATCAAGATGGCCACGGCCAAGATGAAGGACTAAAGAATTAAAACGGCAGTACACAAACCAACGGCATCTAGGTGACTACATCCTCTTGTGTGATCAGGAACCATACCACGTCCCTGTACATACTGTACAAGAACAGCAGCATATTCATCTCAGCAAACATCATTCTTCTGAACGGTCAGGAGGCTCTCCATCCCAGCCTCAGTGAATAACAGTGCAGCATGTGGCTGTTGGTCTCCCCATCTGTCATCATTACCGGTAGATCCACAGCCACTCAGCACAGGCACATTAAACGGATAGTTTGGATATTTTGAAGTGGGGTTGGATGAGTTACTTATCCACAATCAGTGTATCAGCTACAGTAGATGGTGGAAGGCACGGCCCCAGTTTGGAGAATCCTGCTCTGGAGTATTATCAATGTGCTGATGTGTGTATGGGCAGCCGCAAAAGCCACCTACAAACATTAATATCAGATCAAGTGTGCGCTTTATTTAAAATATATTTTAGGTGATTCAAGCTGCCCCCGTCCACAGCAGTCCATTGTTTAGCTCTCTTGCTGTAACCATCTGTTTCTAAAAACTGGTGCTTTGTCGAACGTCATCTACTGTAGGTTTAGTATGAACACTACATACAACCCCACTTGAAACAAAATAACCTGTTCCTTTAAAGTATTCTATAATGGACAGGACGACATCTCCAAACCGAACCTCATGCTTCTTCACTACAAAATATTCATCCAGTATCAGATATCTTAAGTGATAACTTACCAAAGGCCTTATATCTGATGTGAGGCCACTGAGACAACAAATGCCTAAAACTGCATAATTAGGCGCTCAGAGGGACAATAATACCAAATGTGCATAGTGTTGGTAGGGATGAATATCACAATGTGATATTATTTGTGTGGAAGTGTGCATTTAGATTAGATTAGGTTTCCTGGATTGGAATGCCAGGGACATTTTCTCTGGCGTTAATACGGTTGAGCAGAAGTCAGAGTGGGAGTGTAGGATTTGTGTAAATTAGAGTGACAGTGTGCCTCATTGCGGTAATCAGCCATTTTTATCAGCTGCACAACGTGGACTGAGTAACCATAGGCTGATCACCAGAGAGTTGCCAAAGGCTGGAAACAGATAACGCAGAGTCCAATTTTCAGTCTATTTGGCAGATGCGTTGTGATTATTTCCATGCAGATAAACACCTCACAATGAGAAAAACTGCATCATCATTTACTGCATGCCATTTTTACAGGCAACACATATGTAGAAAATCTGTGAGTAAACACTGCCATCACACTGAGGCAGGCGTTAAGCTCGGTAGATAGCTTTTAATGATAAAATTGTATTTTTAAGTTGTTGCGCTGTATAGGAGAATGGCTCCCTCTGTATGCATGCAGGACAATATGTTCTCCCTCCCGGGGAACAATTAAGATACTGGACCTCCCGAGAGAAGACTCTCAAAAACAACCACACGACAACTAATAATGTCACCGGAGACAAGAAGTGATTTGTCCTCATGATGCAACCATGAGCGCTGCAGTAAGGCTGTGAGATAATAACTATGGATCCATGACAAAAATGCATAGTCAGAAAATTATTTAAAGTCGGTCAGATAACATACAGGTTGAGAGCAAAACATTTGTGGTTTTCGACCAGATCTTTAACAGTAGTTCTAACAGTTCAGAATTAAGCTAAGTGTAAAGCCCCTCCCCATCTCTTATTAAATACGAGGCCAAAGAAACTAGCTGGTTAGTTTAGCATAAAGACTTGGGGAAACTGCTAGAATTTTGAAAAGCGTTTAAACACAATTCCCAAAAATGTTGAAATAATCCTTACAAAACTTTGAAAGACACAAATTACATCATGTTAAAATAAAAATATATACCGCACTCACTCGCTCTTCACCGCAGCAAACATTGAGGGTAACTAATTAATATTTAAACCGACATTTAAGGGGCAAAATACAAAGCAAGACAAAAGCTCAAACAAAACAGGATAAGGCAAAATAAGAAAAACTAGAATCACAAAACGAAATGCAAAACAAGAATACACAAAACAGCGGCAGGTGAAAAAAATGTATAATGTAGGTTCAAAATGGCTCACCATGCGGCATACAAACAATGTGTTCTGGCCCTACTCACTACAAGAGTGAGGTTTTGACAAACTACTGGTGTGCAGGACACTGGGAAGCAGTAAGTCATAGCATAATCTGAGGAAACCAAGTTATCCATGTATTAAACGAGACTGCCTGTACCACCGACCATGACACAAAGAGTCAAAGGTAAGTACAAAGGCCAAACGGTGCGTTTTATAAGCAGCCTAATTAGGGGAGTGGTTGGGAGGAGTCAGGCCTTGAGCTGCATTCAAGAGCACTGCACTCGTTTTGAGAGCATTACCCACTACATAGGTGGGTAGGCAGGTAGGTAGATACATAAGTAAATAATTAATGAGGCAAGTAAGTCAGTAAGGATGAAAATTATTTATATAGCGTTTTTTACAGACATAAGTCACATACATGCATGACAAGGGCATTTACACCTACAGAAGAAAGATATACATTTTTTTAATTGTAACATTTGAAACATAACACACTGTTGGAAAATACAATTAATAAATACAAAATTCAGACATGATGCACATATCCAACCCCTAAGCCTGACCAAACAGGTGTGTCTTTAGTTGCTTATCAGAGTCCACAGAATCAGCGTGGGATGCAGGCAGAACATACCATAGTTTTGGTGCTCCAGCCTCTAAACCTCAATCATACGGCGTCTTCAGGCCAGTGTGCAGGACAATAAATCGAATGTGTTTGATCTAAGAGGGCGAGCTGATGAGTAAGGGTGAAGAGGTTCGGCCACATGTGGAGGAGTCTGTAGATCTCGGGACAAACAGACGTCTTTGGTCCGGGGATATCTGACAGTGTGTGTTATTTAAGATCTGCCAGGGTGTCATAAAGCAAATACGCAGTAAAGTCTCATAACCACCTGCCCCTCTGACCTGCACCCACCACCCTTCATCATCAGTGTTTTCTGGTTAGAGAAGAATGAACCTGTGCAGCCCAACATGGATCACACACACAGAGGGAAAGCACAGGAGCTCAGCGCTGTGATAATTCACAGTGTGTTGACAGGCCTCCATAAACAAATGCACTGAAGCGCAACCAGCCCTCCCACGTGCACACATAGGAGTGCAGTATACATACCTGAGCAGACATACCCTCAGATGGGTGTGTAGTGTTGATGTGTGTGTATGTGAACATATTAAATGCCAACAAGTTGTCCCTTAGGCCTAATTTGTGCCCTCTGCCCCACCTCTGTCTAGGCAATCCCTTTTATAAAGTCAATTCAATCCAGCGAAGGGGACAGAGGTCTATCGATGTGCCTCCAGGCAAAGGGAGAGAGGCTCCCATGTATAGTAAACAACGCTGGCGAAGAGCTTTAACCATTAGCCATTGATTGCTAAAACACACTGTGGGAAGAAAGCATAAACCAGCCTCTGCTAGTGTTGAACTAATTATTCAAATTAATCTAAAAACCATTACGGGGCCATATGGGACATAATCTAGCTGTCACACAGTAGGAAAACATGCGTGACCCAACACATAGTCCGCAGATTCACATTCTGTTTTATTGGCAGCTGCACATTTAAAGCTGTGGCTCTATCGGGTTTTTATTTTTGAACATAATATGACACAGTGAGATCAAAGGGCAAGCTGTTGGCTCTGAATGGAGGCCAGGCGGGTTTTAGCAACACCAGATTACCATTTCTGATTTTACAAATAAATATGTCTACTCACACGCACTGTCAGCAGAATGTTGATCTGTGGTGTCTCAGATCTCAAATGACTCTTTGCTTCTTTGTGAAACCATCCATACCTTCATTTATATGTTTAATATTCACAAGAACACGTGTCAGATCCGGTCCTCTGCCAAGCTTCTTGTTTAAAGTTTCAAAGTTATTTCCTATTCTATTTTAGTCTCTCTTTTCACTTCCTGTTCTCATGTGTTTCTCACCTTTGTGAATACCTTGTCTGATTGTACCTGCACCTCATTATCCTTCGTCTCTTGTGACTTTATTCTGTGTGCTCCCGTCTGTCTTCGCTGCTTCAGCGTTCCAGACACAGTAAGCCAAGTTATTTAACCATCCTGTTTTGTCTTAGACTATAATCCTGCTCCTGAAACATTTGCTTGATTTTTCCGACAGTCACCTGTGTACCAAACTTTGTTTTTGTGAGTAAAAACTTGTATACTTCTTTTTTGAATCCTCGTCCTGCTGGTTGCCAGTGCTGCATGATAATGTGTTTACAAATGTGTGAATTAACTCTATCATAGTAGCAAAAGACAAAGTAATGCATTTATTTATTTTCAATTTGAAATATCTTTCCAATGTCCTATCCAATAACTCAAAACAAATCAACCTCAAATGAAATCAGTTTGAGTCATGTGTTACCGTTGTCTCACGGATATCATTTATTTTCAACAGTATGTTCACCTTTCAATACAAGATGCAGGGCTCCAGATCACTCAGAGCCTTCATTACTGGACCTATGATTGTTAAATGATCCATCATCAAGACCTCATGTTGTAGTTGGCTGCAGTTGATGTACGGTAAATGGTAAGTCTCTAATGTCGCCATTGAGTGTGTCTGTGAGTGTTTCACAATTGATTTAGTGGTGGTTATTTATTGAATATGTGGTATGGTATTTCTTAGTGAAATAATTTTAATTTGTGTGGTATTGAGATTTAAAGTTAGAACTTAAAGGAGACAAATGTTTCAGTCCATACTCATATTTTGCTGTCTGTCCAAAGATACCTCGAATCAATCAATTAAGAGACTTTCTCTTTAAGCCCCCCTCCTGAAAAAAAACGGTTAGTTCTTATTGGTCAGTGTTTCTGGCTCTTTCACATATGCTTTCTGGGCGTCTCTGCACCATCATTGCAGCCGGGCGGCAACAGCACTGTAGTGGCACTTTATTTTCTTTTTATGGCTTGCTGTGAAGGCACAAATTCTGAATACCAGCTGTGTACTTCTCTCTGTATATTGAGCGTTTTGTTACTAACACTTTATATTTAAAAATAGATAACAATATTTTCTTCTTTCAATATGGGACCTTTAAATGTGAGCAAAAGTCTCTCAATTATTGTATTTTAGATTAACATTGACAAGAACAATGGAAGGTTTAAACACATGTATGTTTTACATTTACAAATGTATAAAACCATTAGCTTTGCAACTTGTCACTTATAATGTAAGCAACTGTTTGCATGAGTTAAATGATTTGTACTGATGTAGTGGCATTGTTGAATAAATGTGCTAATTTGGGCCATTTAGGTCCAAAACATACTATATGGAAATATAAATGCATAGAAACAAGACATGAAATTCATGAAAAAGTTAAAATATCCAATAAAAAAACTATAGTCCTCATTTACATTTAGTGTTCATACCTTTTTTTTTTTAGCTCAAGGCTGCTCCATAAATAGGACAAGGTTTTGTTTCATGACCTGCATTCGTGCTGGATCCTCTGCGCACAGAGGATTGTCTGAAGAGAAGCAGGAGCACCAGAGAAGAGAATTAAACTGATTAGCATTTTAAGAAGACCAACCCAAAGACCATTCTGCTTTGACAATAAATCTTAGACCATCCAACATGATTTACATAGTCAATCCATAAAACCAGCCATTAGAACAGGAACTAAAGTGCAATATTTCCAAGAAACTACAACGATTGACACTCCAATTCTGGCCGGGTGTCAGAGGTTCATTGGTTGTTGTTGTTTATGAGTGGAAAACACCTGTCACAATGAAAGATTTGTGACCCCAAATCGCTGTTTTCTCCTTAGACGAGTTTTTAATTTGCCCCTACAGACTCCTAAGCTGTATCTACAACCTCACACACTCAAACCAAACACTGTACTCCAAATGAAAGTTGGATTTATTCATTCCCCCATCCAACAGATTTTCTTACTGCATATTCTCTTTCAGTAAGGTCTCGAGGATTGTTATAAGAATATACATATTTATCACTTCAAACAATATCAGCAGGAGTCGGGTTTATAAGCAGTGTTTTTATCTTATTTGATTTGAAGGCAACCCCATAAACGTCTGGTTGAATTACAACTTCACACTTTTCTATGTATGGTTCTTTATTTCATTCATATATTCTCCTCCAATACTGCTGAGCTTAATCACAACCCGTCTGCAGACCTCGGAAGGCTTTTCTTTGGGCAGTGCATTTTTAAAAGCCTCCTCAGACATGAAAGTAGTTTCACCAGCAACTCTAGGGCTGTTAACACAAATACAATGTTTATTCATGTGTGTTCATATCCCTGTTTATGATGTCAAAGTATTGTTTGTGTATGTTGGGCCAGATGTGATGTGCCCCATATCTATTTTTCCAATTCAGAGAGTAATTTGTCTTCGCTCAGTTTTTAAATGATCCTTCTTTCGTCTGTGAGAGGGACAAAGTGGGTTTGTTTTCAGACAACAGCTGCAGGAGGAAAGAGAGCAACTCCTTTGCATCGCTGCAGCGTCGCTGTG